TATACATGAGATGAAAATCAGTTACACTTTATTATAAATTACAAAATTTTAAATTTCATAAAAATTTTTTTTTTTACGTTTTTTTTTTTCTGAAAAGGATATGAGTAAAATAAGATTTGTGTACAAGAATTTTCATTCAAGTTTAGGTAAAAGTTTTAAACTGAGATTTTAAATTGTGAATCGATGGAGAAGTAAACAAAATATTCTTAAAAATTTTGTCCTAAGAAATTGATTGATACCATATTCATAATATGTAATCAGGGTTGCATTTTCCTTTAATAATTGCATAATACTAAAAATCTATATTAAAATTACTGCAATAAAAATGCATGAATATTGCTGGCAACTAAAAAAATAGTGTGGAAATGGAAGTGCAGTCCTATTTAATGGTAAAAATAATGCGGAACATTTAATATGATAACAGTTCCGAATTACCGAATGTGAGATTTTACGGCCTATATATATAAGTGCATTCATATACTAGCTAAGCTACGTTTTACTTTACGGTATTGCGACTTAAGAATTCAAATTTTTCAAATCAATTCAAGATGCACGGTTTGCTTTATTTTCGCTTTTCTTTTCGGCGTTTACTTAACATTTTGAGTCAGTAGACATTGTAAACCTTCTTCAGTTTACAATTTGGATCATAAAACTATGAAAAGTTTACGTTTTACTTGCAATTAAAAAATAATTGTTACACAGCAAATCAAAAATCTAAATTTTAAATAATTTTAATTGAAATTATTTTTAAAGTTGTAATTTATTAAAACACAAATTACCCGAAGTCACAATATATTTTGTGCAATCAATTATTAAAAAATGGTGTGTGCTATTAAAAAGTCTGTTAAATTAAAATTTGCGAGCGTTTTTTTTAAGAATGTAAAATTTTTTCATTTAACTTTTTTTCTTATTACTTTTTTTGCAATTATTTTAATATTAAAAACCATTATTAGTGTACATTTTTTTTAAATGAAAGGATAAAAAATATCCTTTTTTTCTCATATCCCTTCTTCAAGTTAAGGACTTACGTAATTTATATAAAAATATTACAAGTTTAACGCATATGTACTACACACATACTTTCGTATAAAAACAAAATTTTCTCACATAATTTATTCTTGTGAACCCTTACTACCTCTTTCTTCTTGAAGTTCAAAAAAAAAAAGGAAAATTAGTGAAAAGATAAGCAAAAATCTACATTTTTTGCTATCAATTTTATTATCCTGATTCTAGAATAATAAAGAATCACCCAAAATCACTAATTCAAGTCGTAATAAAAATTCCTTTTTTGATTTATTTAATACATGATATTTAATACATGAATTTCGCTTCTTTTTTTTTTTATTTTCTTTGGTTTATATTCATAAGCACATTATGTAAGTACATACACTACATACTATGTATATACGTAAAAGGATGAGTCTTAAATTAAAGTCAAATTTTGGACTAAAACAAAGAAAAAAACGAAAGTTGGCACAAATGTAAAGTTGGTTGCTGTTAAATGTAGGATATTTGGTAATTGAGAATATTAGTTGAGCGAGTGGAGTTAGAAATTAGAAACCATTTAAAAATTTTTTAAATTTCAATGAACTTCAATTTGTTCTGAGTTGAACTGAATTCTTTAACAAAATTTGTACAAATGGGTAGAGAATAGATAAGCATTCCAAAACGTGAATTATACTGCAAAAACTTTTGAATTCAAGTTAAAGCTAACCAAATTCTTGGGTATAGAGAAATCTGCATTCAATGATTTTTTCAATGGTTGATAATTTTTCCTATATTGTATGTTTTTATTATGTTGTATGAAAAGAAAACTTCCTTTTATTCGGAATAAAGCATAAGAAATCTGCATATTTGTTCTAAGATTTAAATATCAAGAAACAAAACAAATCCAATTTTAATCAACAATACCAGTATATGTATTTGTCCTTTCAGGGAAAAAAACTGAACAAAATAATTTTTAAGCTTTGATTTTTTTGTCTATTATTTAAAAATTGCATACTGTTTGGGGCGTATCGTCCTTTTATACAATTTGTTATTGTAGGCCAGAGGTTCCCAAACTTTTAACTCTCGTAGACTGCTTGTCGTGTTTTTCAATTTTTGATAGACCCCATGCGATTTTCTTTGATAGATGAAAATTTTTAACAGCAGCACTGTACACCTATTATGTGAGAAATTTAAATAAAAAACTAATTTCATTAAATTCATATATTTTCGTAGACCCCTAGCAGGTCTGCATAGACCCCTGGGGGTTTATATAGACGACTTTGAGAATCATTAATGTGGACACAGTAGCTATCTTTCAAGCATTAGAAACGAAATTTCCATTTCATAATATACTTAATAAACTGCTATATTCGAGTAAAAAATATTCTACTGACATAAAACAAAAAAAAAATTTTTTTTTTATTATTTTTTTCTCAAAATTTATTGCATAATCTCATAAAACTAAAACATAAATTTGAGTCTTTAAAGATTTGTAATGCATACACAAGGAATTACTGACATACAAACCAATAAATAAAATTTTTGTTACATTTTGTTAATATATATTAAATTTGTTACCTTAGATGTTAAAATATATAAGAAAAGAATCATCATCGTTATTATAAAATATATGAAATGAGAATAAAGGAAATGAAAATAGGAATGAAATACATTTAAATTTGTTAGATTTATAGATATTTATATCTGTATGTGTTTCAATTCAAAAGGCAGACACATACATATACATAAACATGTGAGTTGAACATAATCATGCGAGAAATACAATATAAAAGTAATAGTAGTTGCGTTCGTGCATCATTTAAATAAAAATAAAAAAAAATATGGAAGAAAACAAAACGAAAAAGCAAATTTTTCTACTTTTTTTCTTCTATATGCTTTTAACCATGTTATAAAAAATATAAGGCATTATTAAAACAAATAAAAAATACATATATAAAAAATATAGCAAAAAAAAAAATAGAAATAAAAAAATTTCGACCATCTTTCTTCTTAAAAAAAAATCATCATGAATTTTATATCCTTTTATCATTTTATATACTGAAGAAACTCAAGAAAATTTCAGAACAAAAATAGCATCTATTTTTTTTGCTTTTAATAGGACTCTATATCTAACTAAGTAGAAAGCCTTGCTAAAGAATCGTTTGCCTTTTAAGATAATAGCCAAAAAAAAAATCAAAAAACATAGTACCTAAATTTAAAAAAGTAAAAAGAAAAAAGCATAAGGATCAAATGAATGTCCTGCATATTATAATAATAAAAATAAAATTGGGGAAATTTTTACGGAAATTTCTACGTGAATTTTAGAATCTTATACACTATTAACATTTTTATAAGGCTATATTATATAGTTAAAGTTTTATGCATCTACTCTCTATAATTGGTGTGGTGAGGGGAGGATTATTTGCGGCATCAGAGTATGGTAGAGAAATCAAAGAAGACAATCATGCAAAAAAGGTTTTTTTTTCTGCTTTTTTTTATAATATGAATAAATACAATGAATTGGGTTATATGATTTTGAAAATAAAATCACTGGGGTGAAAAATTTTTATAATTTAAGAAAATTTTTTCGTTATATTGAATTAAAAAAATTGAATAAAAAAGGAAAGAAAAATTAAAGCAAGACAACAAAAACGCTTCCTATACTTTTAAAGAACGCAACGAAATCTAGCATTTCTTTTTTGCATAACTATATTATTAAATTAATATTTTTTTTTTATTTTAAGTCAATATTGTAAAGAATGGTTAAAAAAATATTTTCAATTTAAAAAAATTTAAACAGAAAACTTTTAAATTCATAAAGGAGATTTCTTTAAACGAAAACTAATTTAAAGTTCATAAATATTTTAATTTTTTGTTTGAAATGTTTTCATACAAACGTTTTGCATTTAAAAAAAGTTCTTAAATAACAAAAGAATTTAAAGAATGCCTCGTGTGATTGGTACTTTAAAAAGGAGAATTCATTTTCAGTCAGTTTAGAGTTGGCCATATCAAGTCCGTGGGATTCAAAAGATTAAAACCGTTTGTGCTAAATTCGAAGACCATATCTGAATAAGAAGACCAAAGATACCCGCCTAAATTATGTCTTTAATCCTGAAAAATGTATAGTATAACTAACGGTTCTTCCGTGATACGCAGAAATTATTTTTCTATAATTCTAAAATGTTTCGAATAAGGGAAATCCAAAACCCAAAATCCAAATAGGAAAGTCATAACAATATAACAAAATTATATTTTAAGTACGTATGTAAATAAATTTTAAGAAATTTAAGGTATGAACCTAAAAATCTAAATTTCTCGTTGAAAATAAAAACACTCTTTATTTAAAAATTAAAAATTTTTTATTGTAATTTCAGTTTGCAAAATTTTCATTACTTAAACTGACATCGGAACTGGAGTAATAAAACAAATACAACGCGATTCGGTTTATAAATGTGAAAAACTAAATTGTGTGACTGTTAAATATTATCTCTGTTCCAATATCAAGGCTTATACAATTTCTATTCTATATTATTAGCAAAAATTTTTACTTAGTTATCCGCTTCTTGTTTATTAAAAATTAGAATTTTAACCTGGGATTTTAAATTCACAACAAATGGATGAAAAAATAATTTCACATGTATCATTCATATGAAATTTTAATACCAGGCAATTTTATTAAACTAAATAAAATGCTGCAATATTATTTTTTATTAATATTGGCCCCGAGAAATATGCAATTTTAGTTATAATTTGACATTACTATCCCAATTTTCTAATACAATTATTATTTTGTAAATTAAATTATTTTTAAAAATAATTTTAATGAAAAGTTTTAAAAATTTTTAACAATAATTATGTATAATTTATAGATCAATGACTAGAAATAATTCAAATGCAAATTATATAATCTAACATAGATTTTTTAATTTAAAAAAAAAATATACTCGTATATAATTCTAAAGTAAATTTTATTGCTTTTTTAATTGCAATTATAGAAAATGTGTGCTAAGCCATTGGCAAGTAATTCTTCTACTTTAAAAAAAAGACAAATTTTATATAGCTATTAATATAATTTTAAGTTATACAAGCAGAATACAAAATTATTAAGAATTACAGAATTATAAATGAAATATGAAGAATATATGATTGAATTTTGGGCATTCATTGTTCTTTTAAAAACTGAATATAAAAATATAAATTTTACATTTCTAATCTTTAATAATTACAATAATTATTTCATAACTTAATATATTTAACATTTACTTAATTCTAAAATTATAATATATATAATACTTTTCTGTAATATTGACCACCTATACCATATAAAATTAATTAGACTTTTTTAAACCATCAGTCCTACGACATTGTCATTCTTATAATTCGTTTTATAAGAATTAATGTCCTGACTGTAACATTGATGAAAATTTACCATTTGGTATTGCCTTGAGTTCATTTGGGGTACCATCTTCAATAATTTTACCATTTTCTAATACAATTATTCGATCATAATTCATTAATGTTGATAAGCGATGCTAAAATAGAATAATAAAAAAAGATAGGTTTAATGAAACTACAAAATATTTTAAAATATTAAAAATAAAATATTTTCTTATATTCTACTCATTCCGTAATCTGGTTGATAATTTCACATTTGAAGTGGATTTTGGGAATTATGACCGGAATCGTTTTAAGATAATTATAGGAATACAATTATAGATATAGAAGAATCATGGGAGAAATCTCACCGGTTTTCTGACAGCACACTGCAGACTAAGGAAACACTTAAGCCAATTTGGCCTAGGACTAACGGGTCTTGCAGGTTCTGTGACGAGAAGGAGGAGGAGACTCCGACACACCTTCTCAATGAATGTGGACCGTTAATCCACAAGAGAAGAGACAGCTTGGGCGGGTTCTCACTGATGGGCACGCCTTTTTTGGACATTTCCCCGATAAAATTGCTCGGATTCACCAAAAATATGGGTGTCGAGGGGGTGCTCTAGACGAAGCATTGAGCGCTCGTGGTCAGGTTATAATAAATCTTTCAGGTCACATTGCCTAATTCCGCAATCTATAATCTAATCTACAATTTCAAATTGCGCCCCCTTTTCGCAATTTCAAACCCCAGTTACGAAACATTATTTGAAATGATGTTCAAAATATATATGCGAATTTAACTTTTATTTAATTTCATCCAATATTACTTAAAGTGTCGCGATATAAAAATACTCTTTTTTTCGTTTTTTAAAACTCAAGGTTAATTCAATTACACCTTAAAGTTCCTATTAATATTTTCATTAATTTACAAACTTCCTATAATTCTATAATAAAAAAAATATAGCTAAATCTCTTATCCTTGTCAAAGATCACATACTGACAATTATAGTTTATATAAAATTTAACATGAAATTGTCAAACAACTTATGTAGATTAAATGTTGTATATTCAGTCAATTAGCAAGTTACTTTCAGAACACAATAACCAAATTCCCAGTATTAAATTAAAAATTTAACACTTTTTATTTTTTTTTTTTATAAATCTAAAAGTTTCCAGTCATTCAGAGCGTTCATATACTTTTGACTTTTATATAAAATGTGTTAAAAAACAAGAAACGCTTTTTTTTTTTAAAAAAAACTTTTAATATTTTATTCATTTTTTTGCCCTCTAGTTACTACTTATATTTACTATCCGCCCAAAAAAAAAAAAATTAAACGAAAAAAAAAAATAATAATTTTATTATTTAAAAAATGAAACTCTGTCATTGTTCACCCAACAAGTGCACAAAAAACTAACAAAAAAAAATAAACAAAAAAAAAACTCATCCTTACAGCAATTGTTAAAATTGTTCGTCCTTTAAATGCATTGTGTGCAGCATCCATAAGTGCTTTTTCAGTTATTGCATCTAATGAACTTGTTGCTTCATCTAAAACTAAACACACTGAGCCTCTAAGTACAGCACGAGCTAAACAAAAAAGTTGACGTTGTCCAGCACTTAAATTAAATCCACCCTCAATTATTTCGGTATCTAAAAAAAACAAAACACAAAATATGTTTAAAACTAAAATAAAAAAAATCTATTTTTGTTATAAAAAAAGGACTAAAACGGTTTAGAAAAAAAAACCTAGTGGTGATGATGATAAAAAATTACTTTCAGATTAAATTCAAAGTTTTCTATATCAATTTTGAGTTTTTTTCTTGTGCTTTCGAAAGGATATTAAAGGATTTTATGTTAATGTACCACAAAGGATGCACTACAATATTTGTTGTGCTTGAAATAGTTTTATATTTTATGAACAAAATTCTTTATAAATATTGTTGTGACGAGAAATTTCGTTATCATAATTTTTTATTAAACTCCTAGTCACCTCAACAGTAAACTGCAATGAAATTTTACAAAATTTATCGGAACAGGTACTATAGACTCATCTTCTTACATTCTTCAATCTAAATAAATACAATTTTTAAGCAAAATATTCCAAAAAAACAAATTCACTAAATCACAGGACCAAAAATTTAAAAATAATAACTATCGAATTACTGTTGTAATAAAAATTACAGTCAAGAATAAGGATTTTTTTTAATTGAACATGATATACCAAAAAAATTCACGTCTTCATCGCATTGACATAGAAAACTTAAAAATAAATATCTTCAAAATTCGAATTTAGCCGTAATGGAAGTGCAATAAAGCAAGGAAGGAAATGCAGACAAAAATTCGAAAAAGCAAATAGTAAGTTATTAATATTTCGTCATTACGGGGAAGTAAATCCTTATTACGTTCAAAGTGGTTTACTTTTACAATAATTATGCTTTAAAATTTTTTATATAAATACGATTTAAGTTATTTGATGTGGCATTTTTTTTAAATATTTTAGAAAAATATAAATGCAAATAATGTACCTAATCCACATGCCATACGTGTTACAGTCTCCTTTAATTGTGCAAACTCTAAACAATTCCATAATTCTAAATCAGAATAATGTCCTCTTGGATCTAAATTTTCTCTTATTGTTGCACTAAATAAATGTACATCTTGCGGTATAATTGATAAACGTGAACGTACTTCATCTGGATGTATTGAATTTATATCGATACCATCAATTAATATTTGACCATTAATAACATCCATTACACTAAATAAAGATAAAGCTAATGTTGATTTACCACTTCCTGTTCTGCCACAAATTCCAATCTAAAATTGTAAAAGAAAAGAAAAACAAATATATTAAGAAGTGAAGGGTAATTAAGAAAAAATACTGTTTTTTTTCAATATTTTTTTTTTTTTTTGAAAAAAAGCTTTACTACAACTTTAGTCAGGATAAAATCACTTTATCATTACTTGAATTGTTTTATGTATTATGTAAAGAATTTGGCAGTTAGTTTGTAATACGAATAACAATAATTGCAAAATATTTTTTTTTAATATTGGGATACTTTTAGTGGCCATGAAATATTATAGAGCTTAGTATAAGTCAGGCGTTTTTTAAAGTTCCGTAACCTATACGCTTATTAGTAAATTTAATTTGTTATGCGGGTATAGGTTGTTTTCATGTCTTTGATATAATAAGCCTGAATAAAATCATTAACAACTCTAATGTTTAAAAAATTATGCTAGCAAAACACATGTTGCAAACTCCCGCAAATTGTCAAAAACCTAGAGCAGACACAACAAATAGCAAAAGTTGTATGGTTCTCACAAATATTTGTATCGTATTTAAACCGAAAAAGTAATTTCTACTTTTATTATTGAAGCAAAAAAAAACCAAAATAGAAAAAATTCAAATTATTTATTTTTTTTTTTTTTCTTTTTCGGAAAAACTCCATGATGATGAAAACTCTTAATTCACCTAATTAAGGATACAAGTTTCAATTTTTTTAATATTATTTTTTTTTTTATTATTATTTATTTTGCCTTTCTTGACTTGGTACATTATCTATACTCATAAAATATTACACCGCATCCTTCAAGTTTCTAGACATCTTAAGGATATTTTATTTTAATTAGAATTTTTCCTATGGATCCTTTCGAAAAAAAAAAAAAAAATGCAAAAACACTTCAAATTAATTTCATTAAAACACAAAATATTTGAGAAAAATAAACTTTCTAAAACAAAAATAGAAAAGTAAAGGAAAAAAAAGCATCGGGAAAATTTATTTTTTTTTTTTTTGGATATTCTAGTAAATAATTTTAATTTTAATACCTAGTGTACTAAAAATATTTCAAAAGTCCTTCAATTTATCATTTTAATAATTTTTTCTCTTTTTTGTTTTGTCTTCGTCGTTCTTTTTACTTTTATAATTTTTCTTCGCCTTGCATTTTTTTTGGTGTTTTGAATGTTCACAGCTTTTATCCTTTTTGCAAGATTCTATTTCAGTTGGCCGTATATCGCTTTCTTCTATTACTTAATTTTTATAAACTGACCAAATGAAATGGAGTTGATGACTTGTAAAGTCTGAGGCAATATAAAATGTGATGGAAAAAAAACAACAATTGGAAAACCACCACTATAGCACAAAAAATAGAAGAAGAAAGCGTTAAAAAAAAGGGTTCCTTTTCATAAATTAAGTAAATAAAATAAAGAATAAAATAAAAGAAACTAAAACAAAAGGAAGAAAATGCGAGATTGTAAGATAAGAAAAAATGATGATGATAAAAATAATAATAAATTTTAGCTATTAAATAATTTTTTTTTTCATTTTTTAATATTTTTGAAGAAATTTTCAATTTAAAGTTTAAAATTTAGATTATACCAAAAAAAAAGCAGAAAAAATATGTGAAAAAGCGGATTAGTTGTCGGAAAAACACTCTAAGAAGATAATTTTTCTTTTAAATTAATTATAATAAAATACAACTATGTAAAATCTGTAAAAGATCTTCCCTGCTTATAATTTTTTTGACAAAATTAAATTTCCGGAATGTCTAGTAATTAAAAAGTACAAATTGACAGTTATTAATATTAAACAAAAAATAGAGCGGAATAATTTAAGAATTTTTATTTAGTCAAACACGTGCCATTGACTGCGCTATTCTACAGTCAGTGCACGAAATGGCTTATTCTTAAAATAAATTACTAAATTTTTGTAAGTACACGATAAAATATTTAACAAGTGTAGTGCAGTAAAACCTTTTAATTTTCATTTTCTATTAAAATATTTTTGATAAACTTGATAACAAAATGTAGTCGACCAAATCCAGGATTTGTAAAATAGCACATTTCCCTTAAAAAATTAATATATTGAACTTTTATTTATAACGTTTTTAGTCTACATAATGAAAATTTCCATTTTAAACAAAAAAATTTCTTAATACCATTTAATTTTTTTATAAATTTAGTAAAAAATTTTAAAATACTAATTTTAAGAAAATTTATACTAGCAAAAAGTCCAATATAATTTATAATTTCAAAAAAAAAAGTTTATTAAAACTTGATATTTTGCCAAATTTACGGGTAAAAAGTTTAGAAAGAAAAGACGTACAATAAATTTTTATTCAAGTAAAATAAAATATTTGTTATACTGTATAAACTTTTGAAATTTTAGATCCACTCGAGTTGCAGTGTACGAGAAAAAATAAAGTTGGATATTTCAAAGATTGCATACACTTAGGATGGGCCAAAAATAAATTGAAAGAGGCGTTAATTACAATAATTACAGTTTTTTGATGGCACGGCTTTTTACATTTATATAAATTTGTAAGAGCTCGCAGTTTCGATATAATAAGATTCCGAAAGTTCAAATTTTGCAAATATTAAGCGAGAATAAATTAAGAAAGGATGAAGGTACAAAAAAAATTTCCTAACCCCTACATTTTTCTGTCTGAAAGAAAAACGATATCAAAAATTTGAAAAAAAAAAATGTCTTTTTAAAAAAATGTTTATGGTTTCTTTAAAATAAATAGTCAGAAAATAGCAATTTTTAGTCTTCGAGTTGCGATATTCCTATACCTTCAAGCTAATCAAGGCTTCAGAGTCTTGTAACCAGATGAATACGCAAATAAGCAGACGTACAAAGATTTTCAAATCAATAAGCATTTACTTAAAAAATTTTTCAACATTTTGCAAATACATAATTACAATAATTTTTTCCTAGAAAACATGATCTACACTTAATATATTATTGGGTAAGCATTTATTTTATTTATGCCTAAAACTTCACTTAATTTAATATAGCATTTATATAAAATTAAAATTCAATTTACTTACTTTTTGTCCTGAGGAAATTTTTAATGATAGATCTGTAATAACATTTTTCTGTTGTCCTTGATAACGAAGGGTAACATTTTTAAATTCAATATCACCTTTTTGTGGCCATGAAATTGGTACAGTATCATCTATAAAAGGATATTTTAATAAAAAAAAAATATTTATTTAAATAATAATGATATATACATACAAACATACAATTTAGTAAAAAATACGCTTATATAGATGTACATGTAAAATATATATATGTACGTTATGTAACGTACATATACATATAGTGTTTATTAAAATATATGGGTAATTATTTTATGTCAATAACATTTCAAAATGAAAGAGAAATTAATTCGTTTAACAAAAATTTTTTCTCGGAAATAATAAAATATTCATGATATTTTCCATGCATGTGCTTTAGAATATTTATAATTTTATATTTTCAAATATAATAAATTGTAAGCATGAATAGTAATTTGAAAAAAAAAAATTATTTAAATTAAAATTTTTCTATAAAAACTCTACTCTCATCAATCCATCTAAATGAAATCGCGTGTCAGACTTTTTATTATGTTGCCAAAATGAAATAATTTATATATGTAAAATAAAAATAATTTAAATAATCAGCTTCAATAGAACTCAATAGGAAGAAAAAGTTAAGCACAAATCAATTAAATAATTTGTAAAATATTGTAGTACATTTTCTTTAGTTTGTAGTTGGTACAAGTGTCCGTGCGATTGATTGATAATTTTGATAAAACCGATCTCTAGTTTAAATTATTCTTGTGTTATACATTTCTTTACATAAATAAATCTATAGAGAAAAAATAGAAAGCCAGATGAATTATCGAGCTAGAAATTTTAATGAAGCGCTGCTTAGGCGAGTTAAACTGGAAAATTATTTTGGCTTAATAGGACGCTGTTTGTAGAAATTTTATGTTTTTAAAAAAATAAGCTACTGAAAATTAAAATTTGGTTAAGAAAAATATTTGCTAAATGATATTTGCTATGAGAATATAAGGCTTCTAGGAGATTATGATCTAAGAAATATGGAGCAAAGTCAAAAATTAAAAAAACACGTAGACAATTTGAAAATGCTGACCAAATAAAAAGTAAAAAAATGTTTATTTTTCCTATGTCAAATTTCTGATAAAATAAAACCCGCTTCTCTTCCATGTTGTTACTTAATATATTATGCGATTTATTGTTTTGACTTTCGATTCAATAATTTTTTTAAAAAGGAGGAAGTTCAAATCTTTAAGGCATTAATAATTTTAAAAAGGAGATAGTAGTAAAAATTTTTGAAAAATTAAATTCGCATAAGAATCCGTGTAACAAGTAAGACTTAAATAAAAATGCAGCCCCATAAGTAAGTAAAGCATATAACATTTTTGTGAGCTGTCGAAAGACCGAAACTATAGTACACTCGTTACTTTTCATTTTTTTTTAGAAAATGTAGTAATGAATAAAATTTGGTAACTAGTTTCAATTTTTTTTTATTTAGACAAATCAAATTAAATATTTAAACATGGATGAAACTTACAAAAAAAAATTTAAAAAATAATTGAAAACGATTTTGTCCAGTTTGTAATGCAAAAAGAATGAGGTACAGGAATCCCCCGTTATAAACAATTTTTGGGACCATAAAATATAGATTTAGTTGGGGATTACCAAATGTTAATAAATATGTAAAATATGTCAAAAGAACTAAAAAAAAAAGTGTCTATAAAGGGGTGAACTATTATTTTAAACGGGGGCAAGGCTTAGTAATTGTTTAAATCGTTTGTAATTTAAATTTGTAATATAGGGGTTGTTTAAAACGGGGATTCCTGTATTTATTCTACAAATTCAAAATATTTTAAAAAGTACTTTAATGACCTCGTAAAAAATTTATAATTTGATATTTTGCAAATCTAATTTTCAAAATTTTTAAAATAAATAAATAGGTTGAAGCGATACATTTTAGGTATAATGTTGGATACGGAATATTATCACTCACTATATAGATTATATATTTAAACTCGGTAAACGTAGTAGGTTATTATGATTATCTCAATATAGTATGATGGTTAATAGTATTGCAGCTAAAGATTTCATTATGTTGCCCAGTAGATATACACATACAATTATGTTAAAATTTTTTCATCTCTATGATTCACTAATACAAAATTAGACTAATATATTAGTTTAATTTTTGAAGAGATCTTCCTCAGCAGCGAGAACAAAAAAGTTGTCGAACAAAATTTGAACTTTTCAATGAACGCATAATTATATTTAGTAAATTGTCTTTAAAATTTCTACTGAGAGCTCGTACGTGAACCGGGAAGTACCAATTTCAGCAGGCCAATCTTACTTATTTTCAATATTGATTTACATGCACAGAAAAAAATACTTTATGGGGAGTAACTTCTTGGTGTTACATACTTCGTGACAAATTAAGTATATGCCACAAGATATGCGTGTATAAAAAAATTTAATAATATTAAGAATGACACAAATTTTAGTACAATTTAAACAAGTTTCACTAAAGTCTATCTTATATCTTCGAAAATATCAACAATACAATTAAGCGTAATTATTACGCGTTAAACAATTACGCGTAATTATTAATTAAAACAAGAAAAAATCAAAAAAACTAAAAACCCCTATATTTTAAATATTTTTTTGTTTTTCTTGATTTCATTGAAAAAAAAAAATTCTAATTGAAAATATTAACTGAAAATCGGTAAATTTCTACACTAGTTTTAAACAAAAAAATTCATTAATTATCTTCATTATTTCATCAATACGAGTATTAAATAAAAATACAATAGCAATAATAAAAGAAGAAAATTTTTTTTTCCATTTTGTTTCTTTTTTAATTAAACTAATGAGACGATGATTTCAATTGAAAATTTCCTAATACAAAATTTCTTCCTTATTTAATTTTCATCTTCTTTAATAACATGCAATTAATAAAATTTAATTAATTTATTAATTAGATAGAAATGTGTAGATAATTAAATGTAATTGGTATTGCCTTTATATTAATCAAAAATTATTAAGATTAAAGAATTTTTAAAGATTTTTGTTTTAATCGAGAAAGGAGTGTACAGGCAGCAGTAAAGGCTATTCTCTTGTTTAATAGATTTAATTGATATTGTAAAATAATTGTTGTATTTAATATATAAATAAGGATTGTAAAGAAGTGATACATGTAATTGTAGCATTTTTTAAAAAATGAGTAAAGCTCTTAGTCCGAAAGGGCTAACAAATCTCAAGCGTTTCTAAGATATAGGGATTTCATCGATTTTTCTACAAATTTTCTCTTTGTCAATGTTTTTGAGTAATTGCTAACAATATATAAGCTTTATATATGTAGTTTTTGACAGGACTAACAATGGGGTTGCAATTAGCTAAGTTTTGTATTTTTTATACTTTCGGAAAAGCAAACATTATTAGAATTTTTTTTCAGGAGTGCTATTGTACAAGCGCTATATACGGGCAAATATAATATTTATCTCCAATGAATATGTTTTATAGCGTAAATGACTACAGCATAATATTTTGCGTTTATTCGTTCTCGGAATATATGCCTAAACATTGGTGCCGCGATCAAATACAATATACTAAAACAAAAGCCGACAAAACCCGTTTTTCTAGCCTCATACAAACTTTTTAATTGTAATTCACTTTTGGGCTACTTTTTCCTTCCAAAATGGCAGAAATCACAGAGCAAACAGTTCGTGTTCCTTCTCTACAAAACAATTTTAATTTGTGTTTATATTAAATAGTTTTCGATGGATTACTATACTTTGATTTTTTTCCTATCATAATATTTTAAAATTAAAATTCTAAACGTTGTTACCAAACGAATAACTTGTATATAGCAAACTATCTTTGATATTTTCTCTTCGAAAAGTTTAATACGATTGAAAAGCATTTTTTTCAAGTATTAAAAATTAAATTAAATTTATTTTTATGTAATTGTGTAATTGTATTTAAATCTGATCTCTTATATAATCGTATAAATCATTTTTAATATTGTATAATAATTGAGGTAAAAATTATAAACATAGTATAGAAAAATTTTAATATGCTTGAAGGCAAATAAATTTAAAAAGTTTTTCTAAAAATGAAATAATATTTAATTAAGGATAGGACCATAACCGAGTTATGTAAGTGTATTTTACATTCCAGTATATCTAAGTGAAAATTATATACGTATGTACATGTACAATGATGTAGAGTTGATATGTATGTATATGCAAAACAAGTATGTATAAGAAAAATTATATTAGAAATCTTCAATTTAATTTTAGAATTTTACGAAAGGATTTGAACTTGACCACAATTAGGACTTAAATTTTTATTTATAATAATAAAAAAGGAAACTTTTTTTTATACAAAACTTAATGAATTTATGAACAATATATGAATTTGAATAGCATTAAATGAGTATAATTTCTAAAAAGATCTGTCCAAAAATTATAAAATAAATTACATATATACTTGTAAAAGGGAAAAATAGAATTGTAATTCTGTATTGTTCTCGTTTGGATAATTAAAGTTAAATCTTTGGAAAGGATAAGATGCTTACAATATACGTATTTGTGATGTAATATTCTTAAACAAGCTCTATTTTTAACAATTTGTCTTCATTTCTATTCCTTTGCTAATTGTTCGAACTTAGAATAGAAAATATTCTACACGTAAGTTTGATTTAGTTTCAATTGCAGTATTAAGTTAAATTTGACCATGGCCAACCCCATTAATAATTTAAAATTTTCTTAATACTCGATAAGATCAGATGTACTGAATCACTTTTTTAAAATACTTTCATAACTAAACTAGCATATTATAAGTTGAAATAAGCTGATCCAATAAAAAGAAACTTTTTAAATAGAAATATTAAAAATTCAACAAAAGAATCAATTTTCAATTAAAAATTTTTTATTCCGATATACTCTGAAAGATAAAAGATAATACTGCAGAAAGGTTATTCGTTAACATTAACTGCCACAAAAATTTGTAGAACTTCAAGTAAGATTACGTAAAAACTTTAGGCTTCCTTTCAAATTAAATTCGTAATTTGTATTCAAATTTTTTATTAAATACCCAAAATATAATCGATTTCGGCTCGTATCCATAACAATATAAATTTTTTTGCCCTAAAATATGCAAAACAGTTATGTTATTAAATTAAATATCAATTATTAAATCATGTCTGTATATATAAGTACATTATGCACATATGCTATATACAATCACAAAATTAAATTAAATTTTCTTTATTACATGCACTGAAATTAAATAATTTCAATCTAATGAATATTATGACCACACAATTCATTTTGATTTAAAATATAAAATTGTTTTATTTTGTAATACATATAATATAGAAACGAAGAAAAATGTTAATTTCACTCCCAGATATATCTTGTTTTTCTATTACAAATTAATGAATATATTGTACATACATAGTTATCTTTCTAAATCTAGTAAACACAAAATTTAAATGCTTCAATTTGTAATGTAAATATTGGAATTGTAAAGTCAGATATTGTATAATAAAATTAAAGGTCAATAACAAATTGATTTTCTCATTAAACACCATCCTTAATTTGTCTAAAATCAATTAAAATTCCTTACAAATAAGAATATGTAAACATATGTATAATTATTGTTATATTCCCAGAAACTAATATAATTTCTACATAACACATACACACGTATATTATATGTATTTATACTTACAAATAACTTGATTCACTTCACTTGGGGCTATTAATTCATGTTGTTCATTACAATAACATTTTCCTGCAGCTTGAGAATTATATTCAACTTTATCATAATATGATTTTTCTTTTTCAATTCCTGGTATATCGTTTACTTTAGATTTCATTACTTCCTTTGATTTTTTTTCATCATATTGTAAGTTCCCTTTTGCACTATCTGTACTTTGCATTTTTTCATTGGATATTTGAACTTGACATCTTAAACTATGATTATTATGTTGCTGACCGCAATCTATAGTATTGTTCTCTTCTTTTTGTTTGTGATTATGATTACAATGATGATTATATTGATGATGATTGCTATTTCTTTTTTGACTGTTATTATCATTATGACTTTGCCAAAAAGTATTCAAATTTTCATTTAATTTTTGCTGATAGTAAGCGATACGTTCGACTGAACCAACATACATTTCCATATCAGATAATAATTTAACAACCCAATTTAAATAAATTGGTACCAATAATGTATAATTTATGGCTAATCCAACAAGTGATGGTGATGGTGATATTTGGAATAATAATGAATCTTCACTATTCTCAAAGTAAATATTCTGATTATTTGAATCATAGTTAAAATTCATACCATCACCAGATAATGGTGATGATGTAGATGAAGAAGGTGGTAATACGGTTGATCTATTTGAATTTGAATAATAATTATTTGATGTTGAATATAATGTTTGCTGTTGATTATTATTATTATGATAGTTGTTGCTATAAAAACGTTCTGGACTATGAAAATTTTGTTGCTCTTTTGCAATTGATGCTGCCAATAATGCTGTTATAATAGCAACAAAAACAATTACACCACCAAGGTAATCCTTTTGGGGAATATGAAAATGGAATAATAGAAAAACGTATAAAATTTATTCAACAACAGTTTTAATAAAAATGAATTAAATGAATTCTTGATAATAAATGCCAAAGGATACGTGTATGTAAATCTGTATGCAAATATATTAAGCTCTTTATTAAGAATATTATTGAAAAAGCCAAAATATAGTTTATACAATTATTGAGCTTTATATTGAAATTTGGTATAATTGAAAAACCAAATCGTAAAGCAAATCGTATTGAATTCTAATTAGCTTTCTGTTATTAGAGTTCTTAGAAAATATTGATTTAAATCATAATTAATTTTTCTAAAAATTATTTTTTATGAAAAGTGGAATGAGTAGAAATCTGACCGTGTCAACTCTGCGATACCCTTTCGAGTCAATGATTTTAGGAACTGTATGATATTGAGACACTGCTTCGTATAATTTTGTTGTTTTATAAATTGCCTTTTATTAATATACTACTTTTTTATATTTGCGCCCAATTTAGAACATTTGTGCTCTTCTTTGAGCATTTTACGTTTAGTAATATCCTAAAATTTATGACGACTATTTTATATAAATTCATGCAATCTCAATTAATTTAACTGAAAATAATTGCAACATTAAACATAATCGTTTGAGTCAAATTTCAGTTTTGTGAATCAATTGCTTTAAAGATATAAACAAATATATTTTGAAGTACAATGGCAGCTATCACATGGAGTCATGCAATTTTAATGACAGTTATTAATCATAATAAACTGTAATAGTCCCTAATAGTATTAAGCCCTACAATATAAATTAAAAGAAACTCTTTTAAATCCAAATTTTCTTAAATTAATTTTCTCAAATTAAATTAAATCTTCGTTTTAATGTAATTTTAAGAAGGTCTAAAGAAGGTCAATTTGGAAGAAGGTCTAAATTACTCAATATTTAACAAAGATTTAATTTTCATCTTAGAACAATTTGAATTCTATTTGAAGATCTAAATCAATACCTACGAAAATCAATATCTCCTTAATTTCGTTCGTTTCAATTAAATTTTATAAGTTAATATTTAAGTATGCAATTTACATTTCAATAAAAACCAGCTTTATGTAACAAATGGGGCAATTCTATGTTACATGAGTACAAACGAAAGTACAAACGAAAAAAGTGAAAAACTTAAATTTAAAAACCTACTCAACTTCTTAAGAAGTTACAAATAATTTATGTTGCTTCTCTTACCAAACAAGAAAATTTTATTCGAAAAAAAAAGACCAAGAAAAAGCTGGAAATTTTTTTTTATCCTTTCATAAAAAGTCGTACTAAAAAATAAAACAACTAAACATCTTTTTCCTCTTCTCGTTCACACTTTTGTCATTTTTTTTCTTTTTTTTATAAACTTTTTAACTTCCAATGACAATAAAGAAACTTTAACTATACATAGTCTTCTTCTATGAGTTTACAAACATCCTCTGCCATGTTGTAACCTTATTCTCATCAAAATGTAGAACAATTTTTTATTTTGTTTTTTTTTAAAAACTAATTTTGAAAATTAAAAGAAACACTAGGATCAAAAAAAAAAAAAAACTATGAAAATAAAATTGAAACTTACCAATGCAATTCCAAGCCATCTATTACTTGTATTCAACATCACAAAAGCAATTGTATTCGCTTCTAAACGACGAAATAATGTTTCTGTAAAACGAGATTCCTGACTATATGCTCTTATTGTCGTAACACCCTGTATTGTTTCGTTAAAATGTGAGATGACAGGTGAATTTGTAATATTTTCAAGGCGTTGTAATTCTCTGGACGATTTCCAAATGTATAACATAAGTATAAAAGAATAAAATTTAAGAAAAAAAAACAAAAAAATTAAAAAGAGTGAAGAAATATAGAAAAGTTTTTCATCATGAATTTAAGATAAAATTCACAAAGGATTATATATTATGTATATCGTAGCTACCCTAGTCGTTCAAAGTAACATTAAAAATTAAGAGAATATTAGTAATAACAGCATTTAAAAGAATTGCTGCTTATGGTAGCATTTAAATAATTTACACAATTTTTGGAAATACGAGTAATGGAAATCAATGTCTGCCGAATTTGTATTAGAAAGAATTTAAACAGAGAGATTTGAAATAGGTTTCGACTGAGAATCGCCGATGTAATAAATTTTGGCAGCAGACTCCCGGCGATTTTATTTCTTGCAAGCAATATGTATAACCTAAAAATTACTTTCTAAATTTCTTTTGTTGAAAAGAATCATTCCTCATTAAAGATGTATTTATTCATATCCAAATTTTAAAAATTGAGCTGGGTACTTTTTATTCGTGTCCAATTTTACAAATTTAAATCTCAACTTTAATTGGATACCAAATTTAAGAAAATATCAAAGCGTTTGCTAAAGAATTAATGCAACGTTATCTGAAGTTGAATTTCATTAACACTATGTTAGAACTTCAAATCCAATTTTGTATAGATTAGAATTTAAAAGGAACCAGAAATTTGTGCAGTAAACTCAAAAAAATTCTATGAATTGTCACAGCGTAACTTACACTATTAACTCCAATATGAGATGCATTGCACTAACAGAAAAATAGTTATTTTAATTTTATTTTCTTATATATTTGAATAAGAGCAAATTTGTAATCTAAATAAAAATTCTCGGTTCGGATAATTAAATTCTTGATCCAGTTTTCTCGTTGTACAAAAAGGATCGACCATGCTGGAACCTCTTTTCTATTTTACATAATGTGTAATTGTATATTCTTTGTATATATATATGCATAATATTTAAATCTGTACAGAGATAAATTTAGAGAAAATCTACTTGCTGAAAATGATAAAAGTGAAAATTTTTATTTTTTATTTCTATATTATGTACTTTTAACAGATAATTTTTAAATTTTTTTTTTTTAGAAAAATATACTGAAATAAAAGAAAAGTGTTAAAATATCATGAGATTTTTTCCCTCACAGGATGATATGAACTATGAACAAATACATTGTATACAATAAAAATCAGTGAAGTAAAATAATTTTAGTGCCAACTTTTTCTGAATGTCTGACTTATGACAAAAGATAAAAATGTGAAATTTTTTTAAATTTTAACCAGTGGATATTATTTTAACTTTAGTTTGCTATCTTAAGCTTACGTTTTCATATAAAAACAATCTTATACGAGTATATAGAATGTATATGTAATTGTATGTATAAAATAAATTTACTGATGATACTAGGTTGCTCTTGGTTATATACATAAATAAATTACCTTAAATATATAAATTTTGTTTTGTTTTTTTTTGTTATTTACCTTGAAGAACACCTGTAGAATTTTTGTATAATATAATAAGCAAAGCATATCGGTATTGTCAGTATAATAAACCATGGTGTTATAGCTAAATTTATAAGAACAGCACATAAACATAATAATGTAAATTGTAAAAGACGTTGGCTTGTTGGAGCGATTTTCTATAAATTATATAATGAAAAAATAAAAAAAAATAAATAAATAATAAGACTCATAAAAACAAGAAAAACAATATTAAAAATTAAGAAAAAAAAATATTTTTTAATAGACAAAAATAAAAAACAGAAATAATAAAAATTAATTTAATTTATAACTTTTAATTTGAAAACAAAAATTTTGTTGAAATTAAATCTGTCTCCTGAGCACAACAGATTGTTTTAATAAGATTAATGAATTTATGGACATCTCCCATACAGCAGTGAAAATATTAAAGAAAATTAAAGTAAAATTAAAGATTATAGAAATATGAAACGTAATTTTTTGATTAAAATTTTAAATTCAACTGAAACAAGCCTTCAAATATACATACTAAAAGTCTTAAAAATATTCAAATTAATTTGAAGTAAGCTAAATCAGAACTAGCTTATTCTAAAGAACCTTTTCATGATCTAATTCGATTCAATGAATAATATTTGATAACATCCAAAATAATCCTTAACATACTAGCTACATATTGAAAATAGCTATCATGATCATACAAATTTGAAAGTGCATATCCCAAATACGAAAGTACATACGACAAATATCTCCTAATATGACAATGCGCCCCTTAATTACATACATTTGGGAGAATTAAAAAACTAAGTCCAATATTAACCGAGAGATCGAATTATACGGTTTACTTCTTCACTTTTCATAGGAGTTCAATAAAGTTAGTGGTTTCAAATTAAGAACTGTAAGAGAATACGGAAGGGAAAAGCGAAACCATAATTTAGCACTTTTCCATAAAATTTTTGAAAAAAAAGTTCTTATAGTTTCACTCTGTCCGTCCGTCCTTCCGTTGATATGTTTTCAAAACTTCTACACCCTGGAATATAGAAAGCTGAAATTTAAATTTTTGGCACCTTATATTTCCGATATTGCAAGTCTTTTCTATAAACGCATAAAACTAATGATGTACAGACTAATATGATTTACAGACTTTCCAAATGACAAACAGATTGAAACTAAAAATTGTTTAATTTTTCTAAAAATATGCGCTTAAAATCGTAAAGAAGAGAAACTTAAATTTAATATTTTAGAGTCCCACGTTTCTAGACAAAAAACTGTCATACTCTTTTAATCCTACTCCATTTATAAATTTTTAATTTTTTTTCATAATTAATTCTTTAAATCCACATTTACAATTTGAATCAAAAAATGCTTTTAAATTAGTGTTACAATAAAGTGCTTTAATATTTTAATCTGCATTTAATCATAAATAAATAGGGAAATAGGTAAAAAAAAGCCGAAACAAATAAAAAAACACAGATAGATCACTTGTTTTACTAAAAAATTTTGACCCCTTGCAAAAAAAAAAATTCATATGAAAATGTTCAGCTGAATAAATATGAAAATCTGTTGTGTACGCGTGTTGCAATAACATTTAAAATCCAATTTAATGCTTTGTTGTGTAAATGATTTTAAATGTTATCGCATTAATTTACGACAAAAAAAGAACCCCGTTAAAAAAAAAGGAATTCGAAACAAAATTTTTTTTCAAATAAAAAACAAAAACAAAGCTGACATCAAAATTCAAAACATAAAAAAAAATTTTGTGCGAAAAAATTTATATTTATTTTTTTCATTATAAAAACGTTGTTAAAACAAAAAGGACTCACCTTATCAATGATAGCCATATCATTGCTAAAACGATTTATAATCTTTCCCAATGATGTTATTTGAAAAAAATGTAATGGTTTTGCCAACAATGATTCCAATAGTTGATCATGAAGTTTTTCTCTTGCATTACAACCAGCTTTTTGTCCAGCTGGTATTGATATGATTGACATTAAAATGCAAATACTTGATATTATTGTGTACATATTAAAACAATATGCTACGTCATATATCGTTTGATATTGCTGCTGCTGTTGTTGTTGTTGTTGTTCATAATTGTTATTGTTGTATTCTCTTGTATCATTTTCAATATTAAATATACTGGTTATACCATTACTACTACCACCATTGTAATAATTATTATCACTATCAATATCATTGTTATTATAATTTATACTATGAAAATTATTATTAAAATAATTAAAATTTTTACTACTATTAATATCACTGTTGTTATTATTTAAATAAAATATTGATGATTTTAATGTTTCGGTTGCTGATTTTCCAATACTAGCAATTGTAGAATAACTTGAATCCATTTCAGTCCAATACCTTAACCAAACATCTGTATAAATACGTAAGCATTGCCATATTAATGCTGTTATAAAAAATGTTAATACTATTGGTAATCCACAGGATTTTAAATAAAGCATATAAATTTGTAATGGTATTTCACCATATTTACGTTCATCATCATAAGGTGATCCTGTATTTTCATTGTTTTCATTATTTAAATCTGAATAAATATAAAAGCATACATATTATTGTTGTTGGTAAGTGGATATGAAAAATTAATATTGATTGTTTGTAATTTATTTATTTTGTTTTTTATTTGTATGGTATATTTGTGAATGTTGGGTAGGTACATTATTGTTTGATGTTGCAGAAATTTGTTTAAAATGTTTAAATTGTTAAAAAAAATTTATATGTCTATAAAATATTTACATGAAAAGAAAAAACACTTTTCATAAAATATGTAACATATTACATAATACAACGTAAGTGTAAATAAAAAAACTGTAAAAATTAATACTGATTAATTTTGGAAAAAAAAAAATTTCAATTTTATATACTTACATATCTTGAAACATTAAAAAGGATTTTTTTCATAAATTATAAAAATTGGGGTTTCCCTTAGAAGGGAACCATTGCAATAATTTTCAAATAAAATAAATTTTAGGCATTCTTTTAAATCAACGATACAACAAAAAGATTAAGTCAAGAATAGAAGCGCACCATGCATAACCGATGTTTTCCTTTGAATTTTGTGTCATTGCCGCATTGCCTCTTATCAATTTTCTATCCAACTCGCACAAGTTCGTCTTTATTTCTCGGTGTTTTTCGTTCAAAAACGAAACTATAGCTGTTTGAATTAAACGAGTTGCCTTATTTCATATTTTGATTATGTGCAAGAAAATTACTTTGATATATTAATATTGAAAAGCATAACATATTTGTATACAATGTGTAAAAAATGGTGGGTATTCGTTTAAACAATTCAGAGAAATTGAAAAATGAACTTATGCGCACAATTTATGCGTACCGGCAGAACTTATGTGCTCTGACAGAAGCGTGTTACAAATTTGTATTGACTGAAAAGTTTTTAAAATCATCACCACTTTAGATTGTCACTTTCTCCTAGAATAACCTACTCTCCTTCAGCAATTTCCAGAAAAAATAAATAATTTTTGGATTTCGAAGCAAAAAATTTATATAAGGTTCAGAAAGTTCATTTATTTATCTAAAAGTCTAGTATAATACTTTGTAAAACATGCAAGAAATCTGAAAATCATAGCATGAAAATTTCGATTGATAAACTAAAAATCTCAATTCGTATTAGAAAAATTCAAAAAAAGTAGTAATAAAAACATAGTAAAAGAAATATCATTCAAAATTTGTAAAAACTTCACTATGAAATTATTTTAATGTATTTTCACATATAGCAAATTGCTTTAATTCATTTCAAGATCTTTACAAGAAGTTCAACAAAAATCACATGCAATTCTGTGTTCGTTCCAAAATTAATTCTTCTTTCGATTCAATTTTCCTGCAAGAACCAATAAGAATTACCTTACAATGTTCGTATATGGGTACATATAGGTATACCGTCTAAAATTTAATGTGTTCGGTAAGTGCAATATCAGATGAGATTTAATAAATCCTTTTATATTTATATCCTTTATTTTATAAACATTAAACATATACGAGATATATAATAATAATTCATAATATCTTGAGTAGTAAAATTTACTATCTAAGAGTTTATCAAAAATCAATCAAGAGAAATAAGAAAAAATTTACTCACCGTGAACTGATCCATCATCAAGAAATTCACTACTACAACTAGATGATTCAACTCTTTGTAAATTTGGATGTGATTCTTCACTTATGCTTCTAAAAGAACAAATTTTTTTTTTAATTCATAAATACCAGACGGTATTGCAAACATTCAATCGACAAAATAAATATTTAGTATACTTACTGTATTGAATTTGATTCACTTATCGGTCTATGTAATTTTGTTCCTAAATTTGATTTTCTTGATGACATTCTATTTAAAAATTGCCGAAATCCTGTCTTTGGTTTAAATTCATTTTCATTAATCCTATATAAAATCAAAATGAAATCAAAAGTTTTAATAAATTTTAATTTTTTAAAGTTTCTATACAAATAAATTAACCTTGATTTCGTATCAATAAATCTACCAGGTGATGAAATATTTCTCGAAACTGGTGTACGATTTATATTTGTTTTGACTTCTGGTTGTAATGATTTTACTCTTAAAACACTATTTTTACGTCTATAACCTGAACTGCTATTGTTGCCATCATTATGCCTTAAATCAGAATTTGTACCACTTATTGCATTACCTAAGCCCATCAATAGAATAGACCGTTTAGATCCACGTCGTTTTATTATGATATCATCATTTTGACATTCATCAATTGGTAACGGTATATCATATATTAAATGTCGTGACCCAAATATACTTGAACGTCGTTTCGTTTGCATATACAATGATTGAGTCTGTAAAGGTAATAAAAAGAAAAATAGACGAAAAACAAAAATGAAAAATTGTAAACGACATAAGAATTTGTCATAAATCTGCGGAAAGGTTTTTAAAGGATAATTTGATTATTTGTTGCATTTTTCCTTTTTTTTAAAAAAAAAACACATTTGCTTTATTTTAAGCAACAACGCTGCATGTTAGTCTAAGTACTAGATTTAAAAGCATTTTAATGTATATCAGTTAGATAACATAACATTATATAAGTTTATTTTTCAATATTAGAGATTATTAGATTAGAAACAACTATTAAAAACTACATTACATTGTACTGTACATGGTATTCCATACAAAATAAAATCATAATGCTAGAACGATATTATGAATTTCAAAAAACGATGAGATGAGAGTTGGATCAATTATTCATTGAATATTTATTAATTATACTTGTTATTTTTAATTTTAAAGTTAGGTTACCCAATTAGTATGGTAAGAAAAAAGATATTTTAAAAAAAAGTCTTCTAATCCAAAAAATATAATTGCTAATTTTAACTCACCTAATTGTGTTAATCAATTTTTCTTTTCATCCGAAAAGTATGCAATATTTATATATTATGATTTTGGTGCACATTATTGTGCAATCGAATTATTAATCAGAATAATATAAGTAAAGGATTATTTTGAAAAAAAGAGAATTTTCGTCTTGTTCAAAGGAGATGTGCTACATGAGTTTTATGCGAATTTATTTTTTATGACTGCCAAAAATTAAGAATAAACTATTTGCTTATTTTCGATACATCTAAAATATTATTGAGTTTCCTTACTTAAATTGAAACACCGTGTACAAATACATTTTCATAACGATTTTGGAAATTTTAAGGATATATAGAGACACAAAAAATTAAAAGTACAATCAAAAAATCAAAACTATAAAACGAATTTTACTACTATGCTATTGAATTACCAACATATTAAAAGTTCTTAAGAACTTAAAAATACTACACAAGGATAAAAATACACAAGAAAGCATATTAAAAACTAAAAAGGATATGAAACAAATATCATAATATCACAACACAAGAAAAATAAAAAGGAACGAAGAGAAGTAAAAAAAAGCAGCTAAAAAGAGAAAATTTATTGTTATTGAATTCATATTGCTTGCTATAGTTATTGTTAGATGACAAAAATCAAAAACAAAAAAACAAAATAGGATATTCCCAAAAGTCGATTTGAATTTTATTCTTTCACTTCTTCACTTTCTTCCTATCTACTTCTGTGCTTTGTTAAAGGATGTTAAAGGATATTTTAAAAACTACAAAACTATTCACGATATTTTGGAAATGTTTTTTCCTATGTTGTCATAAAAGTTTTTGTTATAAAAGTGAAAATAATGTTGACAGGAATTCACTTGTTGTAAACAAGATTTTTTAAAGGTTGTTAGTTGTTTTTTACTTAATTTTTACAGTTTGTTTTTTCTTTTTTTGAACAGAAAAATATAGAAATATTAAAATGAAGAAAAGGCATATAAAAAACTATTGAATTTTTATTAGGAAAAAAATTCTAAGTTTTATTTTTGCTCTTTAAATTCTGCATACAAATTATTGAGAGATCTAAAGTGATAGAATTTTTATTGAAAATTTGTTTTTCTTGCGGTATGTTGATATTCGACAATATAAAAAAGTTTATCACTATTAACTCATTTTTACTCAATGATGATTTATTTACTAGATTAGCAAAAAGGAGAAATGTGGGAAGGAAGACGCCTTCTAGAAGCACTTTAAAGCAGAAAAATTATTTTATTTTAGTTCCTTAAGAATTTTATTTATCAAATTGTTATTCGGCTCAAGTAAATTTTCTTCAAATTAAGATTAAATAAAGTTGATCATCACAAAGTTGTAATGGTTTTATAGATATTTTTAGCACTTCCATTGCAAACACAGGGTTTGTCTAATATTGCTGTTTTGTTTTTAAAGTGGTTGGTCCATTACAAAAGTAATACATTGAAATTGATTCTCTAGATTTCTTCCTGACAATCACCTTTTTTCAAAGTAATAGTTTTAATACCAAATAAGTTTATGTAGTTCAACATTATAATGCTAAATTTTTCCAAATTGGAAAATAATTTCAATTATTTTTTTATTTCTCTACACTGAGCAAGAACTTATTCATTTGCTTATGAATTTAAAAGTGTTGCAAGCGGAATATGAAATTTAGCATAATCTCAACATAAAAATTCAGTATAGGAACAAATTCTGTATAGGTTTATTAGTCAAAAATTTCTACATTATTATCATTTTCACCGTAAATGCCAGATACATTGTTTTATACCTTAATGTCACCTGAAATTATGCAATTTTATACAATTTAATTTTTTTTCAAAAACTATAAAAATTTTTCCGATTTTTAAACAATACCAAGAAAAAAACATTTAAGTTAGTTTGTTAGGTAATACTTTAGAACAACATGCTTTTACTGAAACACTATAAATACCTACTGTTAAAAAACCTTACACAATTATACCATATTAGTCACTTTCTACTGTTTACGTCATTCAATGTTAAAATTTTAGTATTCAAAAGAAACGATCACAAAAGTGATTTTTGATGACGTAAAATTGTTCTAAATTTTTTTAAATTCTAGTTCTACCACTCTGACTACTGCTAAATAATATGAAAACTTTTTCGTAATTACTTTGATTTTTCTTTTCAATTTTACTTACGTCAAGTATCTGATTTTCATCAGAATTTCTTTGTAACATTTCGATAATTTTTAATTTTACTTTAATTCCAACTAGAAATATCTGTGAATTGCAAAATTTTTTTCTTAATGTTTCGAGCACTTATACAATATCATTTAATGTGAAGCTATAATTTTATAAATTTTATGGAATTTTAATTATTAACTTTGTCCTTCTTCTATATTCTACGTTTTCTTAAGTTAAGAACTTTTTCTTTTATTAAAATTACATTTAAAATAACTTTTAAAAGCTTATATTGAAAGCTATTTTTAATTTCAGCTTGAGCTTCAGTTAAATACTTAGTTTGATTATGCTACGACGACATAATTTGTAATCAAGTGTATAATTATTTATTTTAGGTCAACAATAAACTTACCGACAATAGATGTTCTTGATCAGAATCTTGTGGTCGTAATAAACCAATTCTTGAAACATTTTTAAATAATCTCCATCGTTCACGTGCTGTTTTACCAGGACTGTAATTAAATTGACGTTTTTTGGTTAATTTTATTCTTATATGTAATAAATTTTTTCGATATCAGATTTTATATAAGATATTTAGAGAAAATTTAATTTGTGTTTTAGTGATATTCAATGCTTTCAAGAAAAAACTTTAAACTACTTATAATTTTTGCAATTTTTTAAAAACGAAAACTTTATGGGAAACTTGGAAATTAAAACTGAAGATTTTATGAAATTATTTTTATTTAACAGAACAAAATTTTACATAGTTTCATACTATAAAGATCAATTAACAAAAGTATTTATGAGCCACCTCCCTTATATTTAAACAACAAGGAAAAAAGTCTAATATTTTGTCTAATAACTTCTATAAATTTGTCATGAATGATTGCGTTTAGACCAGAAGATTTTTGAGGAATCGATTTTTTACACAGGACTCGGAAACTAAAATTTTTTTTTAAGGAAGAATTATAAAAATAAATCCGAAAGCAGAAATTAAACCAATTGTGGCCCAACTTAGCATATTAAGATAGGTTCTGCTTTTAATGTATAGAATTTTCAAATGCTCATAATATTCAAAGAATTTTTATATACGTATTTATATATTGTATGTATTTTAGAGAGCTAACCCAGTAAATTTCATATTTAATTAAAATTTCCGAATATTTAAATTCAATTTTCAATTCAATTAGTTTTTTTTCTTTAAAGAACATTTAAAATATTGTGCAAAACACACACAAATTGCAACTTCTACTTAGTTTCCTTCAATATTTATACATAATGTTTTGTACCAAATAACATTTTCACATAAAATATCAAACCACAACTTAAATAATATTTTAAATTAAATTTATAACTCAAATAATAGTAGAATAACAAAATATTTAAAAATAAATTCAATTTTTTAACCAACTATCAATATTAACTTTAAGTGAAATGAATCAATTTTATATCCTTGTTTTTGTTGTTTTTTAATAATAATAAAAAAAAATGTTTTTTTCTTAAAAATTATGTTTTAAATAAAATACTAATCACACAACAATAAACACCTAAAGCAAAATTTAATAAATTTTTGAAGTGAAAATATTGGATTTTTATACGAGTAATTTATATAATAATGAATGTTCTATATACTATTATTGTTAGAATAATATTGTTTAATGATAAAAAAAAATTTCTTATATAATTGAATTTAAAATTACAACAATAAAAACATTATTCCTATATTATAAATAATTTTCGTATATTTTATTATTTTTTGTATTATCAAAAGAATCCTTTTAAATTTTAATTGAAAACATTTATTCATTAATTTATTTTTATGAATGAAATTTAAATATAAAATGAATTTTATTTGCAATAGAAATTGGAAATTCTTAAATCCTTTATTTTAGTTTGATTTTTTGCATTCTTTTTTTCTCTTTTTTATTTTGTAAAATATTCAATTATTAATATTGTGCATTAAAATTTCTTGTGAAAAAGCGTCTATGTTACAAGATAAACAAGACTATATGAGTAAAAGTAAAAAATATTTTTGTAGTTTTGTACGTACTGAAACATTAATTTTTAAGTCTGGTTTAATTTAAAATCTGAAAATTTAATGTTACAGTGGCAATAAATTTCATTCAAGAATATTCATTATACGAGTATTGCATTATAAAATGACGTTGATTGTCATATAACGATAAAAATTTATTGAGCGAAATTAATCGATTTTCAATATTTTTTGATTTGACATTAAAAATATGTTTTATGTACATAAAAGATCCCTTTCGAATATTTCATAGAAATTCTAATATGAAGTGAGAATTTTATTTTTTTAAGAATTAACTTTGATAAACATGTGTGGCTTGAAGGAATCGAATATTAAAATATTAGTTTCATGTGTAGGACATTGCACTTTGAGAATTTTATTTAAAAACTGAACAATTTAAGGGTCGAAATTTTATAAAAAACCAAAATTGCGTTAAAATTATTTAATTATTTCCAGAATTAATTATTTCATATATAAGAGCAAATTTTGAACTTACGAGTATATTTGCAACATGTTGGACCAGCTTAAAATGTGAACACATTTTAGACAAGTTAGGAGAAAAATAAGAAAAAACGAGAAAAATAGAGTTCACCTTGTCAACTATGTGATACCCGTACGAATTGTCCTATGTGCGAATAAATATGCCATAACTGACTATGGGACAGACTATGACCTTAAGTTGCCGTATTACCACATTAATTTATGCAAAATTTCAGTACTGTGTTTTTCAAAACGCTGTATGTACCAAACTACTATTAAAGTTGTATGGCTGCTACCAGAAAGAACCAAGGAATTTTAACGAATTTTATAAACACATCGGCCCTACTAATATATTCGTTTGTTTGAGACTTCAATACCATAGCTTTTATTGTTTCTGTGATATAGCCAAATAAATTTTAAAGTTGTATGGTACCTGAAGGAGCCAAGTAATTTCAACAACTTACCACAGCTTTTATAGTTTCTAAGACATAGCTAAATAAATTTTGAAGTTGTATGACTCTTCGAATATACGTTCGTACAGCTTTATCTATCCAGGACTTTTACAATCAAAATTAAACGGATACACGTACAATGAAAAATATTGAGCAATTACTAAACATTATTTTTCTAAAATTTACTTGAAATCTGCTAGCAACTAGAGATGGTCATACTTATTGTATATTGTCTATATAGTATTAAGATAAAAACAAATATTTTCAAACCTTATTTGATCTTTATCTAGACCTTTAGCTATAAGAGCTTTCCATTCCGTAACAATTTCCGGGTGATCATTTTCGATTTGTTCATAATTACCAGCTGATTGTACGGAACAATCTTTCATAACAATAATCTGAAATTAAAAACAAAAAAAATCGAGAAGAAAAATATAAAATAATTAATTCATAGCGAAGAAAAAAAACATTTTTTTAATGAAACAACAAAATTCTTAATAAAAAGCATTTAATTTGAAATTCATAATTTTATTTTAAATTTTTAAAATATTCAGCAATTTAGTTTAATTGTAAATTGGAAATTATAAAATTATTTATATAAAATTGAAAAGTTATTTGAAGAATTTACTGAATATTTTGACGTTTTCATTTTGCTGTCAGTCTATTTCTGATTGAATTTGAAAATTTTTTAATTGTTAAATAATTTACTTAAAAACTTATAATTGCTGATTTCAATTAGTAGATTTAAAATGAATATAGAGAGGAACAAAATTGAAATTAAATTGAAATTAATGTAATGTAACATATGTTTATGTGTAATCAATTGTGAGAAATTTATTTTTAAGTGTTTTTTAAATACGACGTTAAAAATTCATAACACTACAAAACATCTTGAATGCTTTAGTTTCTGTGGCCTTCATGAAGTCAATCAAGGTCACGGTTTTACTTATGTAGCCTAAGCATAAGTAAAAGTCCTTTTTAAATATCTTACAACAGTAGGAGCTGCATAATACGATTTTCGTTTTATATGGTTATATTGATCTCACTTTCAATATCTAAAGATCAAATTCAATCACAAAAGTACGAACTGTTTTTATTTAGGGCACTTTGATAAAAATTTTTTATATTCATACAAAATTTATATTTTGATTTGATATCAAACTTAATTTTTGTAATACTTACATAATTTGCACTTGATAATAGCTGTAATTTTTGTGTAACTAAAATAACAGTCCGATTGGCTTTCAATAGCATTTTTTTAATACTATTCTCAAAAACATGTTTTGCAACTTCATTATCCAGTGATGATAAGGGATCGTCCTAGATCGATAAAATACAAAAAGATAAAAATAATTGAATATCTGCTGTAAAGCTACTGAAGTTTTTGCTGTAAAGACACCAACAGTAAATAAAATCTAAAATATTATTCTGAGGTGTATACGATTGCATACATACACTACTTTATAATTAAATCTTAACCCACAAGAAAATTGTATAAATAATAAAAATTTATTTTAAAATAAATTTACTATAGTAACATGCACACTAACATACCAACCCCCCCCCTTTTACCACAAATCCTATATTTTAATATTGTTGTAAAATTAAAAAATCTTTAAATCAGGTTAAAATGGATTACCTTTAAAAAAAACACAAACAAAAGTTTTTGAAAAGGAAATAATAATCATAATAAATCTCATAATTTTTTTTTAAAGGAAACCATATAAATTTTATCTCTTTAATACGTCAATCCCTTCAATTATTATTTTTTATTGAGTAAAAGGATATGACAATCATATGATATAAGCGTTTCACTTCACTTCGCATGTATGTTTTATTTTTTTCCCCCTCTTGTTTTTATTCTTCGCATATCCTTTTGTTTTTCTTTCCATGTTTTAAAAAGTCATTCCATTATAATGCACATAAACAAAAGTGCAATATCATTCCGAAACTATCTATACATTCAAAATATACACTCATAAAATCATTCATATATGTAAGCTTGCAATATAAATATATAAAGGATTTAAAGTTAAACAGAGCAAACAACACAAATAAATGAATTTTATGAAAATAAAAAGAAGATAAAGGAAGAAAAGAAACAAGAAAAAATAACAGAAAACTTACCATCATAACAACATTTGCTGATGAATACAATGATCTAGCAATATTGATACGTTGCTTTTGTCCACCGGATAAATTAATACCACGTTCTCCAATTAGTGTCATATCACCTTCTGGCATCAGATCAATATCTGGTTTTAATGCACAAGATTCAAGGACCTTTTCATAACGTTTTGGACGAAAAGATTCACCAAATAATATATTGTCACGTATACTTGCATTTAATAACCATGGCATCTGTGGTACATACGCTGTTGTTGAATATCTACGTATACATTAACATATTAAAGAATTCCAAAAAAAAAAAAAAAAATAAAAAAAACAACAAAATTTAAACTATACGAATGTATACAAGAGATATTTATAAAAATATTATTAAAAGAATTATCGGATTATGAAGTTAACGAAATACAAATTTTTATAATGTTTTTGTTTTAATTGAGTATCAAGGACACTTTTAATTTGAAATTCGAAATTTTTGAGTTGAATTTTTGATATTCAGTAGTTTTTAAAATTTTGTTTTTAGAGTATGTAAAATATGATTATAAAATATTTTTTATTGATAATAAACAAAGTATTTAAGTTACTAGCTATTAAAAACATTACCACAGTAAAACTTTTCAATACTAGAAAGAGAGGGTCAGTACTGTAAATGTCTTCCAACGCAATCTCTAATATAAAATTCCTAAGAGGTTTCATATGCAATTATTAGCACAGAATCTTACCAATTAAAAAATATGACAACTTGAGTTACCAAAGCTTTTTGACCATTAAATTTTTTATGATTTAATCTCTTAAACGATTAGTTTTTCTTAGACAGCTCGATTTAATTACGATGTTATCACATATACGACATTAACTAAAAAATGAACTTTTGAAATTTACTCATATATACGACATAATCTCTTAACAGGTTAAAGTATGAAAATTAAGAGACAAAGAAAAGGAAATACCAATAATTTTCAAATGGCAAATTATTATAACTCTCTTTCCTTATTCCTCTCTTTCCGTATTATTTCTACTAAAAATACCCTTCTTTTTCGATCATGTCATAACATCGTACTGGAAAAGTTATTGCTTATTTATTAACAATGAAATAAAATATTAAAGATGCTTTGCTATTAAGTTTTTAAAATTGTAAGTACCTATGTATGTAATAATTAAAATTTGGCAATTGAAATATCTTTTGGAATAAATAGTTCTATTTGAAAAAAAATGAGACAGAAATAGAACGGTGTTTCTAAATCAAGAAGAATCAACCCAATGGCTCGTAAAATAGTATGTTACCGTTGAAAAAGGGAATAATAATTAAAAAAAAAACAATCACTTAGCTACCTAAACATTTTTTCATCAACATACAAAAAGCACAAAATTAAAAAGAAATGATTGCATACTTTTTGGAAACATATGTCCGAAAGGTATTACAAATTTTCCAAAAGGGTGACAAGTTCATATGAGTATTGTAGAGTTCATATGATGAACTCATTTTGTCCTAGAGCCAATTTTCAAGCGCAAGAGATTTCAAGACACTGGAATTCTACTTTTTCTCATTTTTTGCATTTGTTTTGTATTTTCTCTCATTAAAAATGAGAATTTATTTTTTCTTATTAATCTTTATTTCGGATAGACGTATATCAAAATGCATTGAAAGCTCAAGTTTTATCATACATTCTCAATAAAATGTCTTACCAAAATGCCTGATCCGATTGACTTAAAATTTTAATATTTTTTAATGAAATTAACACTACTGAGACAGTTAAAAAGGAAACTTTAATAAAATCCGATTTGTGTATAGCCATCACAAAATATAAAAGAAAAACACTCCCAAAAAATTTTTTCTTCTTGCAGTCCTTTATTATTACCACATTTTGAAAAAAATTTAGATTACTAGAATTAAGCAAAGAAAAATTTTATGGTTATAAGGCATATTATTCTTTATTAAATTGAAATATAAAAGCATTTTAAAAATGAAAAACAAGGTTTAATCAGGAACCTCGCCACTTACATAATAATGAATAAATTAATACACGTGATGAATGATTCATATTCAATTTTGCTTTCAAATTTTTAAATGAAATAGTAAATTATGAAACACACAATAATACGCATATATTTCGATAAGGTCACTTTTACATAAACTTGAGTAAGAAATTGAAATATTAGTACTATAAAAATATTATGCAGGTACATGCAAAACCACTTTTTAAAATATAAACTTCATGTTACATAATATTATAAAGTCTATCAATATTATCCAAACAACTTATAAGAGTAACGTTCAAATACCAATAACCGTATATCAAGCCAACATTATTGTTGTAAAACATTTTCATAAATCAATAAATTGAAAAACCAAAATTGACCAAAATAACCTTTTAAAAAAGTAAAATTTATAAAAATTTTGTGAATTTTAAACACAACAAAAAAGAAGAAAAGTATGGAAGAGAAAAAAGAACCCACATCCTTTATTCTTTCCATCTTTTTGTTTTTTTTTTGCCAAATATCCAATCCACTGAAAAAATACTCATGAGACTCATATGTTTTTTTCTTACAAATTTTTATTTTTTATGTACAGCACAACACACATCATCTTCTCCATCTCTTGTTTCTTATTTTTTGCTTCATCAATTTTTAAATAACTTGAAAGTTTTTCTAAATATTTATTATAGCAAATAAAATTAATATCCTGGGACTTTCTATATGCAATATTTTATATATACATAGAGTATACACTGCACAATACATGACATACTCGCATATACGTAACAATACACTTGAAATATGTGTGCATTTTTTAAATAATGTTATAAACATACACACATATTGTATATATATACATATGGGTTTTATATGTACAGAAGCAAATTATATTTATTTACAGAATATTCCCAATATTAATACACATTCAAGAAATATTCGACAGATATAACAATATTCGATCTATATACATTATTTATGATCATTGATACAAATTGATTGATAATATTGATGAAAATCTTCTTATATTGTAAGAATGTGTTTTCTAAATTTTAAAATAATTCCCAGATGAATTGTGAAACATGAAGAATAATGCATGTGTACGCCATATATGTTCACAAATATGAATGTACATGTAAGCAAACATTATGGTTAGCTTTAGTTCAAATCTTTTACAAGCACATAATTTTTTTGTGAAAACATAAAATAAATATATAAAAAAACAAATAATCTTAGATGTATGTAAAGAAAGTAAGGAGATCACCATTAGAACTGTGCCATTAAATACGAAAACTTAAAATATTCATTCGAATTGGAACATTGGGCGTTATTATGAATATAAGGAAACAAGGTATTTATGAAAATATTTCAAAAATGTAACATGGTAAATTTTGAAACCGTCAATTGAAAGCAACTCTCTTCTTACTTGGAAATTGTTTGAATTGTTGGAAGTTTTTGTGAAGATTATTTTTTTTTCAGTCTTCACCTTATTGAAATCCAACCTAAGGGACTTTAGTTTCATTTCAAACACTCATTTGGAATTGCCGAGGTCAACTTATTTACATCGGCGGGTGGAATGAAGAGATTTCGAGAATCCCCGAAAATTTTACAAATTCAATATTTTCGAGATTTTTTATTTCCATTAAAAATTCTTTCATTGTAGGCTGATGTTGGATGTTAATAATAATGCAAATTGTGTTCGAAGTTGTTATGTCCGGCTCTTTAGCTTTTTCTTTTAACACGATTTTAGTTTTATATTAATTTTATTCGTTTGCCGCATTTTTGCCGATGTTCTGTTGAATTTCAATAATACAAATAAAAGATCATAAAAATAAATCATATGATTTTGAATACAAATGAATTTTTGATGAATCAATGTTAGTCCGTGAATTTGAATTACATACATTGATTCCATAAATTTATTACTTCCAACATTGATTGACATTGTGTACCAATCTGATCCAATTTAATTAAATCATTAGGATAAAGTATTTTCCTTTACTGAAATAAGAACTCACATAATTATCGAACATATGCTTTTACTTTGTTGCGTAAAGCTTTTTCAAAGTTGTATGTATGCACATGTAATGCGTCTACTTAACAAATACACGCATTATTTAAGTCTTTTTATTTTTAGTATAAAAAGTTAATAATTAATATATATTTACAAACTGACACACAAAATTATGAAAATGAAATTCATAAGAAAGTGCAATATAAAAGTGACATCAGTCGTATAATAAATAAAATTAGCTTCTAGCATGTTCCAAAGATACGATATTCTCAAGGTTTATGTTAATAGTAATTCTGAAGTTAGTATGCTAAGTTTCAATTGAAAGATGTATTTTATATATTTGGAGTTTAAAATCAAATATAAAATTGAAAACTATAACTGAAGTCATTTAACTCAAACTATAACTATAACTTAGCAATACTCAATACTATGAAAATGGCTATACAATTTTCGCGATGTTCATAATATTTATTATAAAAGTGTCGCGTGTAAATCTATTAATGTCAAAAACAATTTTATTAAATTGAAATGTTAAAGAGACAACAAGCAAAACACTATGATGGAAGTACAACAATTAATTTTATGGTATTTTAACGAAGGTATATCCTTTTTTATTTTACTTCACCTATTTGAACTTTACGAACTAATAAAGGTTATGAAAATTACGTGCAGTTTTACTCTTATACTAGACATACATAGGTATTCGCTTTAGCTATACATACGTCTGTTTAAATGTAAATTGTATTTTAAATTATTTTTTTTTTTTATTAAAAGGATGCAATTTTCATAATTATTTTTTCATTAGGTTCTACTTTTTTCCTTGTTTTACTTGCTAATTTTTCTTCTTTATTCATTCGCATTATTTTCGCTCTACTTTCTAATTCATTAACAGGCCGCCCATCAGTTTCTATATGTATATACATATATAATATATGTATATATGTATTTAAATATACCGAATTCATTTTTATGAATAAAATTTATGTACATACTTACGTATATTTAAATACCAATTATTTACTATATGTGTATATATATATATATACAAATTGTATAATCGTTTTACTGCAACAATGTAAATAGGCAGCTGCTGTAATATCGTACATACTTACAGAAATATTTTATGCCTTACTTACATAATATTGTATACAAGGAATTTTCTGTTCTGATATTCATGTATGTCAATACTGTTTGTAAAGTGCCTCAGCATATTTATATGGGAAATACTCGTATATTGTTTATAGAAAATATTAATGAATACGCGAATGAATGAATAAAAATTTTAATATGTAGAGGGAGAGCAAAGAATTTTTTTAAAAGAGAAAAATATATATAGTTTTCCATATTTTGTTTTTATATATAAAAAAAAATAATTTTAAATTGTTATATTGTAAATATTATTGTTTTTTACCAGCTTTTTCATTTCCATTCAAATAATCAATGGAAATAAAAACAATAGCTGCAGTATTTATTTATAAAAAACTTTTAAATTGCTTTTATATTTTATAAATTTTTATATTGGTATATAAAGTATATCTGATTATATTTGTATAACCCCACCTATATGTATAATACAGAATGTGCATTGTGTATGTATACACAATGCAGAGTATCCGGAATTCTTTTCAAACAACTTCAAATGAAACTTGACCTTATTCAATATTTGATGATAATTCTAGTGGTGAAAAGCATATAAAACAGCAAAAAAAGAAGGATGTAAATACCACAAGAGAGAAATGTTTCAAAAAAAGAATCAATGTAGCTATACTTATGTATAAACAAACTTATGCGTTCGTTAATCTTTTTGTTCCACGGCAAAAAAAAAACTTATATTGGAAAAATAATGTATATTGTGTATTCAATATGTATGCATAAAAATTAAAAAATGAAGGCAATAATTTACTTTCACTCTTTAAACACATAATATATAAGAATATTCAAACAATAAATATCATCAAGTGTATAAATAAAATATATGAACATTTCACTATGAAAATATTAAAGGATATTATTTAATCTTACATAGTATTTGTTTAAAAATAGTGTACATACATAATATATGGGTTGCAGAGTAATAATAAATATTAATTTTAATATAAAATAATTTTAATAATATTCTATTGAAAAATTTCAATATTTTATAATTTATTATGTAATTTTTAACATATTCGACCTACATTAAAGTGTTGTAATAATTGTGTGATGATGATAAATTGATCATTTTATATATAAAAAAAAAGTTAAATTTAAATTTTCCAATATCTTATATATTTAAATAAATTGTGAAAATCCACTAATGACTCAAGCAGTATTCACTAACACGAAACAAAATTTTTAAATCATTGTCTGAAAAATATTTTTATAAAGAATACTCAAAGCTCCAATTCGAAAAAACAAATGAATTGTTTACAAGTATTTTTGCATTCGCTGTTGAGAGTGGAAAGTAAACTAATTAGATAATTTAGAAACGATCTCATTTTTAAAATATTGCTGGACAAAAGTAGAACATGTGTGCACTCAAAAGGTTAACGTATACTCGAATGCATATGAATTTTAACCCAGTAATACATTTAGACTTTATAATAACTTACTTGTTCCATGAAATTTCCCCAGAAATTTGATGCATTTCCTTCAACAGAGCCGCTAATAATGATGTTTTGCCACTACCATTTTTACCAACAACAACTGTCAATTTTCCTATGTATTTTAGCAAATTGAAAAAATTTGGGTTTAATAAATATGCAGCTTATTTTAATTTATATTTTATATTATTAGTTAAAAATCATTTTCATGAGTGAGGTGAAAAAAGTTCAAATTTTTCGATACGTATTTGTATGTGTAATATATTTACATTATATAATTAACATTAATAAATCTTACCTCTTGGGATATTTAAATTATTAATTTTTAGCGCTATGTTACAATTATCCCATGAAAATATTCCATCTGATATTGATACAGCAGTATCATCAGCAATTTGAAATTGGAATGATTCTCTACCAGAAATAAGTTTTCTTGAATTGCGAATCGTGGGATGTTTAATATCAACAAGAATACCAGTTGAACTATCATGAACATTTATTAAGTTTCCTTCATTATGATCTGTTGATGATAAAATTTTATGTTTATTGCGTAATTGTATATTATTGTCTTCACAGGGAGTAGAATTTTTGCCACATAAACCACCACCACCTCCTCTTATTAAATCTTTATTACGTCTTTTTTTAGGTAGCGTATGGCTTTTATATTCACGTTTTAATTTTGAATTAATTGAAGTTCTTGGCGAATCATTTGAAATTTGAATACCTTGAGATTCTTCGAATTCTCTTAATTGACGTTTTTCTTTTTCTGTTTCATGTTTATCTTGAATTGCGAGTGTAAAAATATCCTTTGTTTCATTATTATTTATTAAATTATAAGAGTCGTTATTATTTATATTATTGTTATTTTTATATTTACTATTATTTTGATGAAAATCGTCGCAATATTCGTTATTGTTATTACTGTTATCAATATCAAAACATTGTTGTATTTTATTGTTTATTTGCTGAGGTCTATTCGTTATCGTAGGCGTTAGTGTAGTTAACGGTTTATTTTCCATATCAAATTCATCATCAATTTCATTAAATTCCTTATCGAATTCACATATTTCATCTTCACAAATTGATTTTCTTTTTGAAAGATTTTCTTTACAACCTAAAATTGTTGACATAAAATTATTGTCCTTGTTTTCTGAATTATTCATTAAAGTTTTTGTGCCCGATGAAATATTATTTATATCTAAAGGATATACGCAATAATCTCCTTTAAAATTTGTGTCAAATTTCGATGTTGATGATGAGAGTAGTGGAACAGAAGAAATTTGTTTACAAGTATCATTTTCATTATGAAGAATTTGATTGAAATCATTGTTTTGAGCTTTCGAAAATGTTTCCTCTGTATTGGTAGGTTTTAATGGATAGTCAAATGTTGATGATTCTAATTCGTTTATTGGTGACATTGAAAAATTTTTTATATCCACGGGATTTGATTGTTCTTGGCTTTGTATTGATTGTATTTCTCTTTCTTGTGATTTTGTTATTTTAATTTCATACATGTCCAGGGCAGCATCACTTTTACTTATTATACGTGCCATGTTTTTTATCCCTTCAAATTCTCGCTGTACTTCTGGTTCCCTAAGAAAACGTTCCAAACGTTTTGTACTAATAATAGCTGCAATAATTATAGGCACCGTAATCGGAAATATCAACAACGGTACAGTAAGTTGATTAAAAAGTGCTAAAGCCGAAAATAAACGTGATGCTGTAAATTCAAAATTATTAAAGGATTCAAAACCAGATGACTCAGATGTAGAATTCTTGTTAGATGATTGATCCAAATTATTGGTTTCAAGTTTAACATAAACAGCTAATGTCACAAATGTTATTAAAACCGATGACAAATGAGTTAAGAAAGCTAAAATAGAAAAATAATTTTTAACATTGTAGTAATTGTGCTAAAAAGAATGTGAGAAATGTAAATTTTTTCGAAATTATACATGCAATATTTATGTATGTTTCTATATGTATATGTATGTATGTATAAAAATAGAAAATAAATTTTAACTTTATATTTACATAAATAAAATGAATTCTTGAAAGTTTAGATATTTGCTGAACATTTTCAAATCAAAACCATTCAAGTTAGTTAGAAAAACATTTTTCCGTATTTTCGCCCTCCTTTCTCTTTCTTCCTTCCGTTTCTCATTCAAAAATATCATTTTCAAAACACTCAAGCTATTAAGATTTTATTTACATTATTCTTATACCATTTTCTTTCATTTTATTTTTATTGAAATTTTATCATTCATCTTAAAATTTTTTATTGAGATTTCCTTCATATATAATGAAGCAGTAGAAAAGAAATAAATCATACATAAAATTACAATGATTTCACGGAATGTCAATTTTTATTACAATTTTAATATACACAAGACGCATATTGTATATGAATTAGTCTAATATAGCACATAATATTATTTTGGAAGCAAAATGTCTGTATCATGTTTTTTAAATTTTTATTGAATTTTAAAGAATTTATAATTGATTATAAAAAATTTAATTGATTTTAAAATGAAAGCAAATTCAATAAATTTAATAATTTTTTAAATATGTACGAAATGTGTAATATAATAAAATATTTAGAATAGCAATTTTGTTAGCTATTTTTCTGGTTGTGCATTAAATATTTTGGGTGCAAAATTCTTCAATTATGGAAATAACTTAAATGACCTACAATCTTTTTGATTTTTAGATTTTTTTAAGGATATTTGATTTTTTGTGATATTTTTTAGCAAAACGATAAAAAACCAATGTAAATGTACCAACGTACATACACACTTTATGCAACAAATTAAAGCATGATGTAGACAGTAATCAGTAAAATTTTATTTAATTTTACCAATCACCCACGACTTCTCCTTCAACTTCTAATCGGTAATCATATGTAAATTCCAACTTCAGTCAAATGAGAGAAATGAAATTATTGTTTTTCACAAATATTGTTTAGAGTCTAGACTATTCATTAGACAACATTGTTTAATATATTGTAAAATATTTATAAAACTGAAAAAACCAAGTTTATTACCAAAATTAAAAAAATAAAAGAACGAGGTTGAGGAGATTAGAGCTTGTTAACACTTTATAAATTTCATTGCAAATTAGAGTTTAATGACCTTTTCAATATTTTCCTCTTTTACTCTAGATATATATGAAAAAATAAAATCAGAGTAGAAAAAAATATTAAAGACTTTTGTTATTTCCACTTTTTTAGTATTTTTTTAGCCTTTGTCACCTTTTTGACCCATCATTTGAAAAAAAAAATATGTCATATGAGCTCTTCGCTTAGTTTGTATCGTAAGAGCTACTTCACAGCTCTAAAAGGGAACTTTTAATATTTTTAAAAAAATAATTGAGCTAATTTTATAAAATTTTGTAATATTGTATAAGTGTCGAATTGTAGTTTGTACAAGCCCCCAAAATTTTATTCAGGAAGCTCACTACGTTTTAACTTTATGATCACATTTTGTAGGGTATACTCAATCGTTTAAGGTCGACTGAAAAATATTTACTTGTTATATAACAAATTATAATACTAATGCGAATTAATTTGTTCTCAGTTCATAAATCATATTTTCAATGCCGAGTGGAAGATTGCAGATTTTCCTAACAGAACTAAAATTCACCCACAGAAAACCTTATTCTCTTTAGTACACTTTTATTCGCCCATAAACTATTCCTCGTTCTATTTTTCCTAAGTTTTTCATTTTTATTACTTTGTTTCCCTATTTATTTTCTTTTCATCACTTTTATATACTTTCTCATATTATGTATCGACATTGGGTTTCTTTTGAAATAAATAAAATGTTAATAAAAAGTTATAAACTTTCAAAATGGAAATATAAAAATGGAAAGAAGGACAAAAACTTTTCAAATTAGTAGTTTTCAAAATGTGTTTTATTCAAACAAAGAAAGGCGAGTTTACGACAATTTAAATAAAATAACAGAATAATAATTTTTAAAAAGTAGAGATGATGTCAAAATTTACAAATACATACTTATGTAATTTCTATAAATCGAAGTCTTTTTCAATAAAATATTTCTTTAAAGTTATAAAATCGAAGAAATAAAATTTTTACATAAAACTTTTTATATTGGAAAAATTTCCAGGTTAGAAACACATACATAAGTACTCTGTGATATAATAGTTATCTTAAAATAAAATATTAAATAAAATGATAAAAGAGTAATATATGTATATATGTATGTATATGTATGTTATGCAATAACCATAATATAAATTACGTACTTACTCATTACAGTCCAATAAAATGAATCTTTATTTAAATATTTTAATTCTTTTCTTCTAGCTGCACCAATTTTATCTCTATAGACTTTTTCCCATGCATTCAATTTAATTAATTTAATTCCCAAGAATATATCATTAATCTTTCTTAATCTTTCATCTGTACATTGCTTGAAAATATAAAAATAAAATTTCTTATTATGAACAATGAATAATTAAAAAATAATATTAGAAATATGACAAATTCAAAACAAAAAAATTGTTAATAAGGATATGTGTTTCTTGCCAAAATATTCAAATAGTAAAAGAATTCAATACAAGTATATAAAATAAAAAACCAAACACAATTTACACACAGAGAATCATCTAAATTCTGGTGGACTAACTAATGTGACATTTTATCGTAAAATCGAAAAAAAAGTTCAGATATCTAAAACGTTAAATTAAAAAATTTTAAAACTTTTTTTAATATTTTCTTAATAATGAGAAAAATTGTAAAATTGATCCATAGATCCATAGGTCCAATTGTCGAGACTTGTATCTGATACATATGCGAAAAGTTGACTCAATCCTGAAAGTAAACTCATATAAAAGTATGTGAAAGACAATCGAAAGTCAAGGTTTAATCGAATTTGAAACGCAGAAATGCACTGCGAACTCATATATGTAAAGACAGACAAACAAACAGATAGACAAACACATTTATTTATACTTTCCCTGCATGGAGAAATGCATTTCTACCTAAAAATTGTTGTCAAATAATCTTCCTCTGTATGTAATACCGTCGGTAAAATACAATCCAAAAACAAGCATAAAACGATATTTTAACCGAAGTTCTTACTAATTACCAAACTGAAATATTATTAAAACAAAAACAAACAAAAGGTTTATTGAAAACACAGTGGTGACAAAATCGACACCAATGCCGACAACTACCAAAAAAAAATAACGAATATAAAATTTCATTCAATATTCATAACGGTAATTCCCAATACTAATATTACCTCGATAAATAAAATTTTATTGCAAAAAAAAACACTGAAAGAAAATTCACACAATTCTCCTTTAATATTTAATAAAACAAAAATTGTATAACAATGCACACATACCGAAACAAAAGAAAATTACATCCTTTTTCTCAAACCAAAAAGAAACGAAAAATTTTTGAAAAATTTTTGTTGCTACGAAAATACTACAATTTTCTATACTGCTTGATTTTTACTTTTTTTCTTTTCTTGTTTTTAATTTTGCCTCATATTTTTCATTTGCTTTTATACTTACTGCCGATATTTCAGAATTCTTTGACATCGCTTTACCAATTAGAAATTGTAATGGAGTCATTGTTAGAATACAAACAAATGAACCAATAATTGCACTTATACCCAATTTCAAGTATAGTAAGTACATAACTAGACCAATCTGAAAATAAAAATAGAATGAATTTTAAAAATGAAGAATATTAAAAAAATTTTATTAAATTTTTGTTTCTTTATTATTGTGTATTTGAATATGGTTGAAGGAAATTCAGTTACTCCGGAACATACCCTTTTTTCATTTGATTGTGTAAAGTCGAAGAAAACATTTTTATTGAAGAAAAAAGAATTGTCAAAGAGAAATTGTTAAAGCAAATTTTGAAATAAGTGAATAACCCATAAGAGAAATGTTCAATACTTTTGATTTATTAATGAATATTTTATTTATATAGGGACCTACTTTTGAAACTCTTTAAAACTAATATCAGTAAAATTATAATGAAAAATTGATTTTTCAAAAATTACCCTGACAAAAAAATAAAATTCGAGGAACAAAATTGAAGTTAAATTGCAGCAAAAATTAACTTGTTCAAAATAAAACTTTTTTTTTCGTTAGTTCTGCCATTTCAACCCCAGTTAAATAAAAATTTTTGGATCCTTTAATTTAAAAATTATAAAAAAATACTTAAGTAAAATAAAGCAATTCTACGTTAATTAAACCACTTTACTTATTCCACTGTCATAGTATTTTCAGATTTGAGGGCTTTCAGATTAAAATTCCAATTCAATTATCAATAAGAAATCAATAGAAAATTATGTGAAATTAAAGTTTTTGAGAGAAAACTTCGATATATGTACCTATAACGAATTTCAAAACTTCAAAAAATCACTTGAATTTTATTAAATTACATTTCATATTGGGTGAAATTAATCTGACCCATATCTTCGTTTTTAATCTAAGATTTAAAATTTAAGTTTTGCAATCGAATGTAATCTGATCTAGTAATTTAAAATCCTCTGTATTACAATACGAAATTAACAATATAAGTGTAGGTTTGTACTCATGTATTCTTAGATTCAATATAAAAAAAATCGTAATCATATTGCATATCTAGCACATTTTTAATACATAATTAATTTTGAAAGTGATTAATGAATTTATTCCAGACTTACTCGTTTTTTTTTTAATTTCGAAATTTACGCAATTTTCTGCTTTTCCATACGAATTTTCTTATATAATATTTTTGAATAAAGAGAATATTTTCAACATAAAACAAAAATATTATGGTCATTAATCGATTATTAGTTCAAAATCGATTCTTTTAATATAAATTTCTTATTCTATGAATTTATAACAAAATTTGCTTCACATTTAAAATTGATAGTATTAATTCAATAAACCTGGTTATCCCAATCTTCTTATAAAAATGTTTATTTTAAATTTTGTAGTTAAAGAAGACACATTTGAATTAAAGTGAACTTTTAAATATTTAAAATAATTCGATTCTTCTAATCATAGAAAACCACATTGATTGTTTCAACTCATATGAATAGATTTTTTTATATAAACTGTTTTTGTGCCATGGTATTAATAATAAAGAAAATTATTATGACTAGACCTAAAATATGTTACATTAAAGGTTAACTTGATCGTTAATTTACGTAAAATACGATTAAAAAAAAAAAGGATATTTTTTTCTGAAGTTTTTGAAAATGAGTAAGAGTAAATATTTTATAAAAGTTTGGGGCAATTGGGAACATTTTTAAAGTATCATTAATTTTTTGATGAAACTATCAAAATTTTCATGTGATTAAGAAACATTTAAATTTTTCTTTATTCCATTTTAAATAATTTTGACGCAAAACCGTTCCAAAATTTTATTCTGAACAATACATTCAAAATACATCAATTTTGATTCATAAGCCCCAGTTGTAAATATTAATAACAAGTTATTAATTATTCTAAAATGATACGCGAATATTGTTATTTTATTGAACGAGTTCATCAATTAAATAGCAAACTGCTACTATAACCTTAATCTGGTTCTTAAATTTAATTATAAAAAATATAACTAGAGTACTACAATACAGCTTTTACACCTTTGCACAATCTTATAATTTAAATTTAAAAACTCATAAATCATTCTAAGAGTACTAACAAAATCGTGACATTCATTCTCATTTTCGAATTTAATTAGTGGGGTTCAAGTACCAAGAATTTTTGTAACAAAAACATATTTTATTTTTTGTTTTTTCAATTTTTTTTTCAAAGGACATTTTAATTGAAATCCATTTTCATTTTAGAATCTTTTCCAAAAAGAAATAACATAAATTCCTTAAAATACCCTTTATTTTCAAGGAAAATCTTATTGCTTGTTATTTTATGTTAACTTGGAATAACTCAAAAAAGGGTTAACTGACACACATACAATAAGAAATTAATTTATCCCAAAGGTAATTTATTTCATATGAAAATCAAAATTACAGAAATAGAATGACATAAAAAATTTTCTTCTACAAAATTTTTTTTATATTTTCAAAATCTTTTTAAAACAAAAGCAAAAAATATAAATAAAAAATTACTTTTGATCATTAAAATTTAGGTCAAATCAATAATATGAAAAGAATTTAGTCCCTTTAAAGAAATTAAATTAATTGAGAGATCGTAAATTTTACTGACCAAAAAAAAAACACAAAAGAAAAGAAGAGCAAATAAAATAAAAAATTCTGTCTAACTCAACGAACAGTTTACAAAATAGCTCATTTAGTTTTAAAAAATTTAGACACTAACTTTTTAAGAAAATAGTTTTATTAAAAATTAAGAGATTAAATCCCGTAAATAATTGGGTCTGTGAACAATTATATTAAAATATAAAAATCAAAGCTTGAGGACAATAATTCCGCACCTTTAAGGCTTATCACCTATAAGCCAAAGAAAGTAAATTACGAGTACCAACTCCCAATATATTCCCAATTTCAAAAATGTCTTCATAATTTCGACACAATTAGATCTCAAACTCAATTCTGTACAAAACTTATGAGGCTTTGTGACTTCCTAGATGGAAGCTATTAAACTAGCATTACCAACTTTTTTTTTTTTCAAAATGTGCTAAAAATTGTACATTTGTATTTATTTATGTAAAATATAAAAAATATTCAAAAATAGCACAATGGAATATATTATTGATACTGATGTTAAAAATGTTCTTACTAAAATATTTCCTATATACTCGTAATAATATAGTAAATATTCTTTACGATCTATTTATACGATATCGTATAAATGGATAAATATTGTCAATCTATATTACATACCTAATTATTTAACTATAAGTAATTACTATCGAATTAATTTTTATTGTTATAACAACAAAATTTGTTAAATTAAAAACAATAATAATGAAAAATATTATTGAAAAGAATTTTCGTTTAAAATCTCATTAATTTATAAAAAAAAAATTACTTGCCTTCAGTGGTATTGCCCATACATAATGTGCAATCCAAAAGAATGACATTACATTCAATGAATCCTCAGTCATTAAATTTGTAATTGAACCAGCATCTCTCTTACCACCGCCACCACTATTACCTGTACCACTAACACTATATGCATCATTATTGTTATCATTACCAAATATTTTTTTATTATTTACTCTTGTAGTGTTTTCGTTATCATTTTTCAAACTATCATCACCTTCTGACAATTTATGATTATTATTCGATTTTACATCATTAGTTTTTGGATTTTCAATATTTTGTTCATGAACTTTTCTTTGATTATTATATGTATTACCTTTTTTCTTTTTTTGATTCTCATTATCGTGTCCTTCACCTAATTCACTATTGAAATCATTTCTATTATTCTGACTATCATTTCGATTTGTTTCTATACAGCTTGAACTTAACAATAAAGTTTTACGATAAATCAATCCTTGTAATGATGTTTTAATTCTAATACCAGTCATATTGAGTAAATGCGTTGAGGCTTGTGATAGACCACCTTGAGCAATTGCTGAGATTAAAACTATCCATGCAATAATCCAACCATTTGATAAAAATTCTATCCAATTTGGATAGTAGTAATAATTGTGTGTATGATATTGTGATACATGATAATTGCTATCAATATATGGTAAATTAAAATTATCATTATTGGTTACATTATCGGTTTGATTAGTTTGATAATTTCTATATTGGTTTATAGTTGCATTTAAAATGATTGATTCAATCGGTTTTCTAATAGAAAAACCATATTCATATGGTGGTATCCAACTAATATTTGCCCATAAATTAACTCCGGTCAATGATGGTAAAAATTCTGATAAACTATATAGCATTGAGTATATTGGACGTATAATATCATGACTATATTCTATTCTGTGATTGGTATTATAACTAGTAACAGTATCATTTATGTTATCTTCAATATTATCAAATATTGCTGTTGCATTCAAAGAGGGTAAATTGGTTGCACTTTCAACTAATGTATCAACATTATGTATATTACCAGGGGATTCTATAATATCATCTAACTTACGATAATTTGAATGTGCACGTAACAATGACCAAATTATATTTAAATTATTTCTATTGAATAGATTCATACGATTCATATGACCAATGCCAACAAAATTATTTGTTGTATTGTTGTTATCATTATTTATACTATTATTATTATTATTATTGTAATTGATGCTATATTTGGAATTAAAATGATTTTGAATATTGTATAATATTGAAGTACTATTCAAATAGGAACGATTATATTCGTATTCAATGTAATCAACAATTTGATGTATTGACAATGGACCAATTAAAGCTGATAAATCACCAAGCAATTTAAGTATCCCACCTAATGTGAACCATTTCCAACTACTTTTTAAATAGCAAAGCCATAATGAAGGATTTTTATTTTCCTAAAATGAAAGAATAATTGCATAAAATAAAAACATATAAAGATTTTTAAAATTTATTAAAGGCAATAAAGTGAAAAAATAAATTTAAATTGAGAAATAAATAAATTTTCTTAAAAATATTTTCCTTTTTATATGGAAATATTCAATTGGGATGCAATCAAGAAATATAAATTAAAGATAATTTAAGAAACGTCTCAGTAAAGTTTTATTGCAGTCATCATAAAATTTATTTAAATTTTTAATTCAAATATTTTAATTAAAATTGTACTTTTATTAAATTTTGATTTTTTTTTCAATCCTTTTATAATTTTACAATATAAATTCAATTACCTTAGCTGATTTCTTATAAATGATAAGGAATTGATCATAATATGCTCTAGCACTATCCTCCTCACGTAAAGTACCAAGATCTTCTTGTTCTAATGGTTCACGATAACCATACCAAAGAAATGGTGTTAACCACCAAAATAATATTTTTGAGAAAAATGTAGAAATTGAATGTTTATATCCAATATTTTCTTCATTTAACTTCTTACTGGCCGGTTTCGATTTAAAACGCTGAAAACAAAAAAATTTTAATTTTAATAGCCTTGTTAAATTTGAAATATTTCTCAAAATTCAAAGTATGTATTTCAATAAATAAAATTCAAATTACTTTTTAGGTTTTATTAGAAAGGATCTCTAACTGGTGCAATTTAGTTCTGTTAGCTTCGTTTTCAAAGATGAACTGAACTTTGCTTGACAAGCTTATAAAATCCATTAATTTTTTAAATCAATTTTTTTATCTTACAAAATAAAAAACTGAAATAATTTATCTTGTTTAAACATATTTTCAGTTTCTTTTCTATTGTGATTATTTTCAATAAACTGGAGATGGCAATGGTTTAATGGCCTTTTAATTCTTTTCGATAAAACAATAGTAAATTATAATCACATACATATGTGTTCTTCTTCTTCTGCTGCCTATCCGTTTCCAGATGTTGGCGATCATATTTATACAGTCAATAGCTATTGAATCGATGCGACCAGATCACGGAAGATGTTTCGATCTGCTGCCGCATGTACCAGATCTCCGATGTTGTTGATTCCGGACCAGTTTTTGATGTTTCGCAGCCACGACAACTGCTTCCTCCCTACTCCTCTTCTGCCTTCAATCTTCCCCTGCATTATTAGTTGAAGAAGCTCATATTTTGTTCCGCGAATTACATGGCCAAAGTAAGACATTTTGCGACGTTTTAAACTCAGGAATAGTTCACGTTTTGTATTCATTCTCTGTAGAACCGCTTCGTTTGTAACGCGATCCATCCATGAGATTCTTAACATTCTTCTAAACGTCCACATTTCAAACGCCTCTATTTTATTGATGTCTTTGATTTTCAAGGTCCATGCTTCCACTCCATACAGGAGTACTGACCACACATAGCACCTCATGAATCGTAAGCGTAAGTTCAAATTTAACTGCCTGTTACACAAAATCTTTTTATATTTCATAAAAGCATTTCTTGCCATTTCAATACGACATTTTATTTCCATTTCGCAATTCCAGTCTTCGTTTAACCAGCATCCAAGGTATTTATAACATTTTACGCGTTCGATTGGAATGTTGTCGATCTCAATACTGGCCGCTGTGTACGGCGTTCTTGTTCTACTTACGATCATGTACTTCGTTTTAGGTGCATTCATTTTTAATCCGAATGTTTTGCTATGGTGGTTTATTTTGTCAACTATATGTTGTAGGTCTTCTAAGTTGTCTGCAATAATCACTGTATCATCCGCGTATCTAATATTGTTTAAAAAAGTGCCGTTGACTTTTATCTCTACATCAACGTCGTTAACTGCTTCTTCGAAAATGGCCTCTGCATAGATGTTAAAAAGTAAAGGGGATAGTATGCATCCTTGTCGAACTCCTTTTTGTATTAGTATGTTGTTGGTCATGCCATACTTAGTTCTTATACTTGCTGATTGTTTCCAATACAGATTTTCTATACATAGCATAATATTTTCATCAATTCCTATTCTTCGTAATATCTCCATTAGCTTATTATGGTTAACTTTATCAAAAGCCTTCTCATAATCGACGAAACATAAGAAGACATCCTTGTGCACATCACGACAATTTTGCACAAGTACCTGAATGCCAAACAGAGCCTCTCTGGTACCTGTCCCCTTTGTGAAACCAAATTGTGTTTTGCCCATATGTGGTTCACATTTCGTGTATATGCGATTATGTAGCACCTTCAAAAATAGTTTCAAAGAATGGCTCATTAGGCTTATTAACCGGTGATCATCACATGTTTTGGAATTGAACTTCTTGGGAAGCGGAATGAAAGTAGAATTCAGCCAATCTTCTGGATAATTTCCTGTTTCAAAAATGCTATTGAAAATTCTTTTAAGCAGATTAAGATTTGAATCATCTATTAGCTTAATTATTTCCGATGGTATTTCGTCGGGTCCAGGCGTTTTGTTCTTTTTCATGGATTTTATTGCTTTTTTAATTTCATCTATCGTTATTGGGACTTCTGATAACAAATTGAATGTTTCAGTTGGGTGTAAATCTCTTGAGGTATCTGAGAATAAGTTCTTAATGTATTTTTCCCACTCCTTCTTTATTTCATCACTTTCAATAATGATTTGCCCATTTTCGTTACGAAGTGTGGTTGTATGTGATCTTCTATACACTCCAGATACTTCTTTAACTTTTTTATGTAAGTTAAAATCGTTGTGATTTTGTTGAAGTCTTTCGATTTCACTACATTCCTTACTGAGCCAATCTGTTTTTGCCTTTTTGATTGAAGATCTTATTTGGTGATGAATACTTCTATATTCTGCAGAGTTTTTGTTTTTGAAAGTACGTCTTTTTTCCATCATCTGCAATATTTCTGGTGTCATCCATTTTTGTTTTGCGACGTACTTCTTGTGACCCAATATATTTTTTGAAGTGTCTTTTAGAACTAATTTTACATGATCCCAAATATTTTCGCTTTCTTCCATAACAGATCTTAGTTGGTTGTTAATTTCAGTAGCCAATTGATTCTTTATATCTGTATTATTTAGTTTTTCCACATCTATTTTGGGTTGACGAAGTTCTCTTCTAGTTCTAGCTAGTTTGATGTTTATTTTAGCTACTAAAAGATTATGGTCTGATGGAACATCGGCTCCTGGATATGTACAGACCGACTTTACAGATGAACTAAAGCGTTTGTTTATTAATATGTAATCAATTTGGTTACGAATAATGTTTCCTCTGCTATGCTGGGGTGATGTCCACGTATATAATCTTCGATACGGTAAGCAAAACCATGTATTGGTTATTTTAAGTTTTTGTTCCTGGCAAAACTGTATCAACCGATCACCTCTTTCGTTTCTCAAACCCAAAGCGAAAGGCCCAACTATTCCATCTACTCTTCCTGCTCCAACTTTTGCATTGAAATCTCCTATCACCATATTGATTTCATGAGGTTTTAGTTGTTTCATGAGATAATTAATTTGCTCGTAGAGTTCTTCTATCTCGTCTTCAGATGAATCAGCAGTAGGGGCGTATATTTGAATGATGTTGAGTTTTACTGGTTTAGCATTTATTTTCATTAGCATGATTCTGTCTGAATACGATACACATTCTGTTACATAATCTATAATTTTATCCGTAACTATAATGCCAACGCCATTACGATGAGTTGAGGTATTGTTTCCTGAGTAATAAAATTTTGCTCCTTCTACTCGGCATTCACCCTTATCTGGCCACCATGTTTCACTAATGCCCAAGATATCTATTTTTAAGCGTTGCATTTCTTGTACCGTATTTGCTAATTTACCTGATTCAAATAAGCTGTTGACATTCCAAGTACCTATTTTGAGTGTTGTTTTTGTTTTACCTCCGGGGATTCTTAGCACCCTCTTTTTGCCGGAGACTGAGGGCCGTGTTTCTTTTGTACTTGTCATATGATTTTTCTAGGGAAGTTACTTCAGTGGTTTCCCGTTGCCTTCTGAAGGGTTTAAAAGTTTTCCATCTTAAAAATCAGCCGTCCTTTAAGGAAACAGACGCTGTTTGTAGCCGCCTATTGTAGGACAGACGCTACGAGACGCACTCATTATTTAGCCTGAAATCTGTTCAGTTGCCCGGGGGCCACCACGTGGAGGTATAATGAGCACTTGGTGGCAGCTAGACACAGTTGCGACGCTGGAATGCTTAAAAAGCAAACGGTCAACGTTTTCCCTGTCGCTTACACACCCGACACCCCCACATATGTGTTCATAAATCATTATTTATATATTATGTTAACAACTACTATTATTTTGCCATCATTTTCATATTATTTCATAAACATTTTATATAAACTTGCTGCATAAAATTGCTATGAAAAACAACTACTACTACTACGTTCTATTAATGCTTTTCGTGATAGAAAAATTACAAAAGTCACTGATAGCATCCTTAAAAATCATATGTCATAATGTCGTAATCTATATAATGTATGATATACAGTTGAACATATACCTATTCACTTGGTTTTGTTCTAAGGTAACGCCAGATAACAGTTTTTATCATTTTGATTGTTAATTTATGGTAAAAGTTTATTATATACAATTTTATATAAAGTATTATTTTATATTTTTCTAAACAATTTGTATGTATGTATATCCATTGTACATAAAATATATATAGTACCTCAACTTAACAGGAATTACACATCAAAATCATTTAAAGGATCATTATGTTTAACCCATGACTGCAATGAAATATTTGTAATATTTGTTTTGCATTCCGTATATGGTATATTAAAAATTTACGAGTGAAATGGTTAAGATTTACAGGTTTTAAAACATTTCTTTTATTTTGTTTGCGAATTCAATAAAATCATTGTTAATACAAAAAATTATCTAAAATAAATATTTTATGTTACTTATTAAATCTTATTATTAATACATATTTTATAACAGAAGAAAAAGAAATGCTCCTAGAATGGTCATTGGAATGCTTGAAGTAAAAATATTTAAATAGCTAGCAGCTTCACTGAATGGTTTAATATTCCAATCGTTACAAAATTCATATTTTTCCAAAATCTTCACAGGGTTAAACATAACTATACCCTTTTAATTACATAAAATTATATTAAAAGCAGTTTCCGCGTTGTAAAAAACGATTCAATTAGGAATTAGCTAACGTTTAATATTTTATTCAGGTTAATTTATCTAACTATATATATGTAGGTTAAATAAAAGTTAATATATTATTAAATTGCTATAATTGAAATATAAGGATATAAAAGAGAATGTTATTTTTAAATGGGGATGCGACAATTTTTTGTTTTTCTATTTTTTTCTTCTTCTTTTTATTATTATGTTTAAGGCTAATAGAATTTATTTATTTATAAATCATGTTCAGATGTTACTATATTGGTATATAACACTGTATAGCTATGGTAAACAGTCTGATATTATTTAAAAAAGTTGTAAAAGTAAAAGTTCAACTAAAAGTATAAGTTTCAACTAAAGTTAATGAAATTTTTGTGGCGACTATTTATAGAACATATAGAATTTAATATTTATTTAGAACAGGA